TCGCTGAAAAGCCCGGCGCAGGCAGAGACGGACTTGCATCGGAACAGAGAGCAGATATGGACTGCGTGGCCGAGTATGGCGGGCCTGCTGCTGTTCATGGTTGGCCTTGAATGCTTTGGCCTCGTCTGAATCCGGTGGATGAGCGCGTTGATACTCCTCTATCTGACCGCAGAGCTCCTTATATTCGGGGCTTCGCTTCCAATATTCCTCGAACTCCTTTGCCGTGCGTGGCACCTTGTCCACCATGTCAGGACGGGCCTTCCGTTCGCCTGGATTAGTAACTGAAGTCAGGAAGTCGCCGCTGACCTGACGATCTGGTAGTTCCCAGCCCATTTCCTCGAAGTAAGGTACTGCACGATCGCGGCTACCGAAGTAGATCTCGCGACCTTCGTAGAGGACGACTACTTTGTCGACGAGATCATACATCGACTGAGAAGCTTGATATGCAGCGATAGCATGACACGATCGACCCATGTCGGCAGAAAGACGTAATGCCCTGACAAATTTTAGAGCAGACGATGCATCGAGACCTCGTGTGCTGTTATCCCAAGCTCCGATACGACACCTTGAGACGAACATCTCGGCAATACTGACCCTCTTCCGCTCACCACCGCTAACTCCTCGCACAAAGTTGTCCCCTACCTTGGTGTGGTAGGTGTGTAAGAGGCCAAACACAGCCAAGACAACCTGCGTGAGGGTATCCACATATTCGGAGCGTGTCAAGCCGTCGATTCGTTTCTGGGGGGTCCGCGCATGCGCTGCGAATGAAAGTGTTTGACCAACGGTAAGGTGTGGAAAGTGTTGATCGACTTCCTTGTTGTAAGCTACCTCTCCACGGTGATGCTTGATCATATCCTCATATTCGATGCCTTGGTAATGAATGGTACTCTGAGGTTCGAGCGTCAGACCACCTAGGTGGCCACAAAGGGTTTTCAGGAATGTTGAACATCCACTCCCAGGGCGACCGAGAACGAGCAGGAGCTCTCCACTCTGGAGGAAGCCATCGAAGTTGTGGAGAATTTGCCTTGGTGGAGGGGACGCTCGTCTTGAAAGCGCATGCGCGGCAGCGCGGAAGGGAGCTGCCAACTGCGTAGCAATAGTCTTCTGAATCTGTAATGCTGAGCCTGATCCAGACACGCAAAGATTAGAAAAAACAACACCCTGCGTCTGCTGTACAATGCCTGACTGGTTTAGGGCCCTTAAGACGAGCTTTGCCCAGAGACGTTGATCGAACGCCGGATTGGCGGGATCCAAACGGGGGTCATCCTTTTCAATGATCGTAGCAGCTTGGGAAATCCTTCGACCGGTTCGGCTGGAGGCGATTCTTGTCAAATTGTGAAGCTCTTGTTTCTCCTCGTCCGATGATGGGGTCTGCTCCTTATCCGATGGGTACGGGTCGTGAGCGCTGGCGTCCTTTTCGTCCATGGTGCCAGTTGAGGGTTCCTAGATGGACCCGTTTCGAGAGCGTTCAGGTCACCAAGCGAGAGGCAAACCGGCAACGAGAGGGAAGCGGAATTCTGTAAGAGATAAGGGTTGGAGAGAAGGTCCCGTATGTATGGGATACACCTAATCAGTAAAGCCCACAGGGCAAACTATAGAAGGGCCAATTTCGAGTGTTAAGGTTAGGAAGCGATCGCCCCGCTTCGTGTCCAGCCATTTTTCCAATAATATATCAGATCTCACTCCCTTCATCCGCATTAGTGCACACTTATGCCTTGTTTCTAGAATTATTTTAGCCATCAGCCATGTCTATGCAGTCAAGCACGGCCGGGCGGCCTGCTCCTTTGGGATGCATGATCTAGGCGGCCCTAACTGCGGCCTGCAGCAGCTAGCGCAACAATAAGCCCCAACTAGAGCGTGGATTGATCGTCGCTATTATTACACATAGTCGATCGCTTCAGGCCACACCGGGTGGACCACCTTCAGCCTTGTCATTGACGATTCTGACTGGCTGAATTAAAAAAAAAGCCATTGTTCTTAGCAGCTCAATGTGTGTCGGTGCTGGGCTGTATGTGGCGAGGCTGTTGATGGTGACTTGTGGCACGTATGTAGCTGCATTTGTGTGGAGCTGGACACTGAATCTCATAGTTGGACCATAGAAATGACCTAGCCGGAAGATGGAGGTGATGATCCCGTCGATGGATGCATGAACCGGCTGCAGGTTTACTCCGTTAGGGCAAACAGCCATTGAAGGAGGGACCGGAAAAACTGCTACTCGCCTGTTTTGCCTGCTCGGGCGGAATTACGTGACTGATGGGAGGGGCCAGCAAAAGCAATCCAGCCACGAAACACGTCAACTTGCGACTTCCTATAATTGCCCTATCCCGGAAATGTTCCATGGCCTACTGGATGAGAGCAAGGAAGGGAAATATTGACGGGACGCGACGCCCAAACGACCGACTCGGTCACGGCTGATCGGTCCTCCGACGCGCCGGTGATCAACTATCAATCCCGGATCTGGTATCCATTTGGGCTCAAACTCAGCACCAAAGATACTCCGTGGCTCTGGTTTCGCCGGGAAATCTAAAGGGCAGCCATGCTAGCACTTCAGTGTGGATACGGACCATCGTGGTTTCTTAGAATGCCGCCCCACGCATGAGAAACTGAACAACTAGCACCTTGCGGTGAAGCTTACATTTCAGAAGACTGTACTGTGTACGGAGACTCCGTATACTAATTCCTTTGTTCGATCTCCAAGTCTCCTTGCTGCATGTTGTTGCTTCCGTAAATTGCTCCCGGGCGATTGTGACGTGTCTACTCCGTAACCCGTAGCAATCAAAGTATAATGATGTCTCTTCTTCTGAAACGAAGAATGAAAAGCGTTTGTTCCCTATGCAGCCAATTATGCCAGGAAACAGTTGCTTATTATGTAGTGGCCCTCATTGGAGGTGGTTGGAGGCGAAGAACGGACTCCCCTGCTCACAACGCTCGGATGGAGGAAGGAATACCGCCATCGAAGGGTTTTTACAACTCATCCCGCGACCGAAGTCTTTCCAAACAGAGCAAGGTGTATCAGAATGAAGTTTCTTTAGCCTCGAGGATGTCTTGAGACCGAAGCGTGTCTTGGTAGACAGCCAAGTTGGACGTGGCGAACTCGAACTCGAACATGTGGGCCTTCGGAAATGTAGTGTTACTGTTTCTGTTGCTTGGTACTGGAGCTTAGCATTTTCCAGACATCACATCGCAGATCTCAGGCAGCAGGCAGCGTATGCACTGGACCCGCAACACAGGGCTCTTGAGCTTGATGGGGTGATTCCGAGCCATGCTAGAGATTAGTATCGCAAGCTTTACTGAACGCGGTTATGATTGTGATCTGACACGCATAGAAATGATGCAGTGCAGCCATCGCTTGGCTCAAAAATGTCTCAGTAAGGAGTAGAAGAAAAGGAAGTATCTATGAATCGTTCAGGTGAATAAGGCTTTGTGCAGAATGGCCGGCGCTGAAGGGCTCTGAGATTGAGTAGCTGCTTCACGACATCAGGGTGACACAAAGTGGGTTTTAAGGTTCAGAGCAGGACCAGAGCCCGACATGATACGCAAGCTAAATCAGCGTTGTAGGATTTATGGTAGAGAGTAAATCCTGACAGCTCTTTCCGACAGGTTAGCCATGTAGACAGATGCAGCCAAGGCAACTGCAACGCCGGAAATATTCCAGAAGATGTATCGCACAAAAAATAAGCAATACCAGCCACTAAGTAAAAGGCATGCCTAAGATTTTGAAGTCCCAGATGAATTCACAAGAAAGTCAGATGTACAGTAGAAACAGTTTCATCCACAACCCCAAACAAACAATACAAACAAACACACCCCCGTACTCCCCCAGCCCACCAAATCCAGTAAGCGGTCAAGCCCACCACCAGCACATCGCACCATAAAAAAAACCCACGACAGCTAAGCTTGACTCACCTTCTCTTCTTCTCCCCTAAGCGCCATCCCCACCAATGCTGCGTTTCTTTGCTACACACGACAAGAAGACCTCCAGGTCTTCCTGTCCTCGGCTCTGATTTCCCCTCTCGGGAGAAATCACCCGAAACCCCCTTGCAAATGAGAAATTCGGAGGAATCTTCACCCTATGCACCCGCCATTTGGAAAATGAATCATTTCTTAAATGGCCGGTACTGCCCTCAAGGGCCTGGTGTGACATCCTTGCACACACCTGCAATTGGCATCAGAAACATCGGGGGGAGAAAGGAAGGGAGTGTAAGGGTTCGCTCTTGCATTTCTTTCTCTTTCTCTTTTTCCCCATGGGAGAGTCGTTGCGAAGATTGTGTGTGCACTCGGCAACTTTTGACCGGGTGTGCGACACTTTAGTGCAATACGCAGCATGCCGTTTCCTGTTCCCCCTCGCTCACTACCCTTAAGGGGGTGGGTTAGGGGAGGATGGGATTGGTATCATTCGATTCCGATTATTCTGGTGGGGGTGGCGCTTCACTTCTTTTTTTCTGAGGTTAGTTGGATCCCCTATCTTTATGAAATCTTGTGCCTTCGCGGTTAGAGAACTGGAAAGGACTTGTTTTTCCCCGGCTAATTGTTGGGTTTGGGGACCTGTATGGGTCCCTTAGGTTCTTGACGACCTAGGGGGGTTGGGGATATACTGTAAGGTTGAGGAAGAGATGTGTTATGGGATTGTGTTTAAGCTGCTATTGCAGGATAGTTATATACGTTTGTTGAGAATGCAGCCTCATTGCACAAATCCACTGCTTCGTACTTCATATATGACATGTAGAGAGACGGGACAGAATTATCGTAACCAATTGGACTTTGAACACGTTGGTCGCTTAGCATCTAGCTGGATATTATAGAAACAAAAATGAACACAGGCCCCCGAGAACATTCAGGATATTTTCCGAACATTAGAAGTTGAAAAGAAAAGAAAGAGAAATCGTTGCCTCCATGTTGCTCCCACTCGTCATTATGATCTCGCATGTATGTCCACTTACTCCTCATCGCCAATCTAGACATTATAAGTCAGTATAACTCTCAATAATATCAACGAGGAATCATCGTACCTTAGGAGCCAGGTAGAATCTCAAGTGACCGCTACCAAGGCCATACTCAACAAGGAGGGGCACCTCCTGCGACAGGCACAGGGTGACCTTGTTCGACAGGTTGGTGGCCTTGCAGAAGTTGACGAGGTACTTGAGGGAGAAAGTGAGGGCGACGGGTTCGGTGAGGGAGATGGAGACGTTCTGTGCGGGGTTCTCGACGTTGGTGTGCTGACGGACGGTGACGGAGCCACTGCCAATGTCACCCTGGCAGGAGAATTTGACACCCTCCTTCGTGGCCTCAATGACAACTGGGAGAGAAATTAGTCGCGAATCACACCCATTGCCAACGAGAAGAACATACCAGACTCAGAGAGAGCATTCAGATCCCTGCAGATACGCTGGAACTCTGCTGCCGGCATCTCTACCGTAGCAGCGTACTCTGTCTCCGGGATGGCCAGGTGCTCCTGGTCAATGTCCATCAACTTGATATCATACTCGCTAAGTCTATCCGTCTCAGCACTTTCGAACATCAGGTTGACGGCATCGGGAGAGTCCTCAGCCTTGAGAGTGAGGATGTCTTCGTTTTGGGCGGCACGCAGGACCTTGGTCAGGGAGACCAGGTTGATACCGAGGGCAATGTTACGGTCGCAACGGTAGGGGGAGAACCCCTCGGCTTTGAGCATCATGGAGACGAGAGCGACATGGGAGTTGTCCATAGCCTGAAGTGAGATACCGGAGTCATTGCAGTCGAAGTTGCAGTCTTGGACCAGATCCTTGATGGCGTCGACGACCTGAAGAAACCGAATGTCAGCAATCAAGCAATGACATGCAACAGTATGATCAAGAGTTACTCACGCGCTTCAGGAGACTGGCTTGTTCTAGGCGAGCTTCAAGCACTGAAATAGTTGTTAGCATACAATCTTGAACCAGTTGAAGCTTGTGACGCTCACTTTTGATGTGATGGTGGTATGTGAGTACGGTGAGAAGCTAATGAGAAGGAAAAGAGGAAGATGAGGAGAGGCTGAGTTAATTAGGTAGTGGTTAGCAGGTGAAAGCAGGATCGTGAAAATTGAAAGTCGTAAAGAACTGACAGAAGGAATTGAGTGCGTAGGAAGGATAGCGGCGTGTCTTTCAGGTTGGGGTGAATTTATTGAGGGACCTGAAAGTGCAGCGAATTCGCGTTCGAGGGTTTCATTAGTGGGGAGGCACGCGTCCCAGTCGCGTCATTCCTTAGGCTGATATCACCCTTTGGGGTTAGTCTGCTGCTGCCTGAGGCTGGGCTATACCGCACCCGTCACGAAGCAGCGTCACTACCACTGATGACAAATCCTGCAACTGAAACATCTCTATGGAATATAGGAAATTGTTTCGATATAGCCAGAGGCCTACAGGATGGTGAAGTATGCTTTCTGCTAGGCAGGCACTACTATAACAGTTCGCATAAGTTCATATGGGCATACCACGCTATGATCGTGCGCAGTCTGCAGGTCATGAGTGATTATTTACCAGAGAATAATGCTTAACAGTTATTGGGTCTCAATGATACTGATATCGGCGTAGGTCTGACCACTAAGCACACTATTAATCCTTGAAGCCGCTAAAAGTTATAATAATACACTTCTTAGTCACAATGATAACTCAGCAATGCATCACGTCACATCTACTAGGATCATGCTATATGTTACTAGCCCTGCAATATGACCAGGGAACTGCAGAGGAGTAGTTGAAATATCAATATTCAATTGGTCTCGAGTACATGTGGAGAATGCGGAATATGAGTTCCTTATGACAGTCCTCTTCCGCGGCAATGGCTGGATTACAAATGCAACCAGTATGGAGATGATGACAGGCATTTGAACAACTCAGAGGGTAATAGTGCATACCTTACAAACTACGGAGCCATAGAATCCGTATAAATATTAGGATCAGCTGTGGACTTGTCCGAACGATCCATTTTCTCCTTCTTATAGTGACAGTGGAGTAACATTCCAACACAAACATATTCTAAATATGACCACAGTATTCATGTCAGTCAATCACATAAAAACCAAAGCACTTTGGTAGAATACGCGCAACAGAAGAAGCTCATACAGCTACAGAACAGGAGCCAGCGGCTACATCGGCGGCGACCTTCTATCAGTACTTGTATCCAAGTACCCAGATCTGCACTACCGCTTACTGGTCCGAAGCCGCGATAGTGGGCAGAAGATCAAGACGCAATATCCTACTGTCGAGATTATACACAGCGGTCTCGATGATTCAGAGACGCTGGTAGCAGAGAGTGCTAGAGCCGATATCATCATCCGTTAGTAGACATATCCATTCATTGTCACATACTATCCATCATAGGGAAAGAGTACCAGCTGACATGACCCGCCTGAAAGACACAGCTGATGCTGCTGACCACCTCGGAGCAGCTAAGGCAATAGCTCAGGGTGCTCTAGAAGGGCACACCGAAGAACGCCCTGTCTATTGGTTACATACCAGTGGTGCCGGGATATTCTCGTTCTCAGACACTGAGAACAAGATATATGGGGAGAAAGGCGAGAAGATCTATGATGATGTGCAAGACATTCAGGAGATTGTCAACTTTCCTGACCATGCGTTCCACCGAGATGTGGATAAAGCGGTGTTGGAGGCCGGATCAGTGCGTCCAGGCGTCCTGAAGACTGCTATTGTATCCCCGGTTACTGTTTACGGTAGGTTTCAAGAACGACCAACACATAAGAGCATGGAGTCAACTGACTTACTGCTACGTTTTAGGTCGTGGCCGAGGACCCTGCTCCCAACGCAGCAGACAGATATACGAGCTAGCCAAGCTGACCATCCAACGCCAAAAAGTTCCCATCATCGGCCGGGGCCTCTCATTCGCGACCGATATTCACATTCAAGATCTGACTAGTTTATATGTCCTTCTTTTCGAAAAAGCCCTTTCAAAGCAAGATGATGGGCTTTGGGGTCCGGAGGCATACTACCTCAGTGAGAATGGGGAGCATTGCTGGGGTGAGCTGGCCCGTTCAATTGGACAAATCTGTGTAGCGGAAGGATTCATCCCAAACGCCGAAGAGGAGGCTTTCAGCTTCGAGGACGCTCGGAATTGGGCAGGCTATGAGGCTGCTAGTTGGGGGCTAAATGTACGGTGTCGGGCCAGCCGTGCTCGTCAATTGCTGGGGTGGCAGCCGTCTACGCCATCGCTAGAATCCGAGCTTCGCGATATCGTGAAAGAGGAATATCGCCGTCTGCAGGAGGCGGAAAGCAATGCATGAGGCTCTGCTAAGATGTTGTTTTCGAATTACTATCGGTGGATTGCAAGGAATTGGCCGACTTACAGTCGGGCCATAGGAACCGAAGATTGAAGTTTCTTCAGTGGTACTACGCAGATCACACAATCTATATTGTCAAATACACCTGATTGAATGGAGCAAGACATCATACTTCAGACATAATTGAATACTGTCTCAATACGAATAATTACGCTAGAATGTAGGATATGTACACAAGGCTGATGATACAGAACAAACGAGATCAAGCGAAAGCCGCCAGCATTGCTTCGGCAAGCATAGTGAGTATACAGGAAGACGAAGGGACGAATCAAGAAAAAAGTACATGATATACAGTATCAACGATTGTAAGGCCCAAGGGTGTCCGCCAGGGGAAAGAGGTAATAATAAGTAACCGGGCTGAGATAGAATGCAAAACTGCCTTAACGCCGCTGACACCGGACCGCTCTATACATTTCTGGGTATCAATCTGCAAAGGTTGCTAGGAAGAGTCGGCTTCCAGCTCGAGGTAGAGTAAATCTTAGGTGATGATATGCGGGGAGGAGGAAGGTAAAGGGAATCGGGTATCGAGGTGGCGGTAGAGGAGATAGGGTTGGAGGAATGCCGTCGGATGATGGCGGAATCAAATGCTTGTGACACGTTTCGCAGCTATTGTGGTACGAGGTCGTTGCTTGATTACCATTTCTAGCTCCTTGAGCATGTTTGTATTGGCATCAGTGCGCTCCCGAGCGGCTGCTTGTCGTGCTCTATCTTCCTTGACTCGCGCAATTCGTTCTTCTCGGGTTAATGACATCCTCTTGTTCCGAGCTGGAAGAGCGACAGCTTCAAAAATTTCCTCCTCATCATCTAGTGTATGGACGATGCTGGGATCTGTGTTTTCGCCAGTCAACGCTCGAAGGGCGTCTGCGGGGCTGCCCTCGACTGCAGTAGAACCCCCAAGGCTGGGTGTGGGTGACAGGGGTGTTTTCAAAAAGCTCGAGGGTCGCGAGAATTCCGGATTTGCGGGTTTTTCCAAGCTACTCATCAATGCGGATTTGCCCGACTCCCACTCCTGGAGAAGGCTTCTAATGTCCGCTCCAATCGATTCATACTGGGGCATGAGGCTCGCCTCGAATTCACCAGCATCCGGTCGCTCGAGATTAGAGCTAGATGCCTCCTTGAGGATGTGCATCTTTGCGTGAAGCGCACGAATTCCCTGGGAGAGTGAATTGATATTACGGTATTGTGCACGGAGATTGTCCTTGTTGGGCGAAGCTGTTGGTAGCGGAGAAGGTGGGATGACATCACCTGGCACGATTATTAGCCCTGGCGGGGATCCTGTTGAGGATTGGCACTTACGATCGTCCTCGTTGAGGATGTTGGTCATCTTGTGAATGTTCTCGCCAGTAATATGAGCCAGGTCCCGCATTTGCTCAACTGCCGTGGTCCATCTAGCAATATCGGACCCGCCGCCATCCGCGCCGAGCGCGAGAAGACAACAGAGGATACTCTTTCTCACGATGTAAAGCCTTCCGAAAAGTGTGCGAAGGGCGCGCAGAGAGTATTGATCTTCGGTAGCTCGCTCATCGAACGCTGCCTCGGCTTCCATAAGCTCCTCCTCTGATATATCGTAGATATCGTAATACTTGGCGAGGTTGGTGGCATCGGTAAGTGGGCGCAGGGTATGTTGTGCGCGGATGTATTGGCCTAGCATGAGATAGAACGACTCCGACACGGTTCGGCGCAGTCTCAGACATCGTCGCGTTTGCGTCTGATCTTCAAGTCGGCTTACTGGGGGCAACGGCGTGCTTCTACTCGAAGGATTAGTGATCTTTGTCATCTAAGCTAGATGTCAGAGCAACTTACATGCGGTAGCCTCTTGAGACCAGCTCAACCTCCTGTATGAAAACAACCGATGCGGAAGCGGCAGAGTCAAACCCTTGAGCGTTGCTGATGAAAGTCACAGCTGCGTCGACAGCTTGGTGGCGCAAGTATTTCAGCCACTGTCGCTTGGCGAATGCATAGAACAGAACCCCAATTACGGGCACGAGAACAAGCAAAACTCCGACCTTCCGAGGGTTAAGACCAGACGATGTTCGAGACCGGCTCCAATGTAACAACCAAGCTACGGAGAAAGAAGTCGAAGCCGTGACAACAGCACCTTGTATACCAAACGTTGTGGAGATAGACGGAAGGTCTGCCGGAAGAGCCGTCGACATCACATCTGCAGCTGATGTGTAAGAGGGCGCAGAGTGTTCGTTCAGCAACTGAGACGCAACGATGACATAGCCGAACTGTTCCAGGAATCTTTCGTTGTCGCTTCTTCCAACGCGGGAGTTCAGAGCAGACTGGGCAGAGAGGTTCGTTAGTAACAATCACAACCAAGGCAAGATGTGGGGTGTTCATACCGTGCAGACATCATAGAGTCGACCCAGAGCTGCCCGTTGTCGCGAGACTTTCCGTTCAAGGGGCTTGGGTAGTTTATTCCGGATACGCTCCTGGAACTTCGAAACTCCTCGTGGGGCAAAATCCGCAGCCGTCGAGTCGGAGAAATCATCGCTATGGTCTGTCTCCTTGACAGGCCAGTTTGGGTCGTGTTCGCCTTCCCCTGACGTATGACCAGATAAGACTTTGTGACTCCCCCAACATATCAATCGGGATAACTCACCCTGGAGGTAGTCCGCCAAAGGCGAGTTCTCATAGACGAGCGATTCCATGACCAGTGAACATTCCGTAATGGTGGCGATGAGAGAGGAATCGGGGAGAAACACGGATGCTGTAAGGCTAGGAAGGGGAAACAAGGATCAAGGCGGGAAAGGTCGAGCAATAGAGATGAGACAGGTGTAAGATTCAAGCGCGTTCAGTTGCGAATTATCGCAAACCCATCTCCGCGACAGTCCAATGGGGCGCGTGGGAAAGTCGACTCAAGGAGAGGGCAATGAAGTGGAGGAGCGAGATGAATAGTATCGAATGGGAACGGGGGGGAAGAAGGGCGACGAGCTAAAGGCTAAAGCAGGTTGACTAGTTGTTGGAAATCCGAGGCGCGGCGGGTTGTAAGGGAGGGCGAGTGGATACGCAAGAGGAGTTATGAGGAGTTATAGTAAGCGGGTTTAAGGCCGGCGCAGGATATACATAGCAATCTACCCCTGGCAGATGGAGACACACTGGCTTGAGGAACAAAGAGGAAGCCCGAACGACGGTGCCTGTGCAGCGGCCACGTTGAAGATCAGACCATGTGTGTGTCTGGGGAACTGGATTATTATTGCCTGCGCTTTTCTCTTTTCTGCTCGAATCGGAGCTGGCGCTGCTCCGACGCCCGCCCGGCCTTGTCCGTTTCCTTTTTCTCTTTACTCTGCAAACCACCAGATCCCTAACTAAGAATAGGCGCCCCCCACCGTTTCGGTGGGCTTTTTCTTCCCTTGTGCGAATCAATCGCCTCGATTCGATCTGGCCGATTATTCCTACAGGGCGCTGCTAATCTCTTTTTTTACCCAGTGAGCGCTCGCGATGGGTTACACCCCAGGCTTTCCCAACGAACTCAGACGATGTGATCACACAAGTTAGTTTGCGAGGGGATGATCGCAGTCTGTGCTTTGACTTTCCCCCTCATCAACCAAAACTTGGGTGGAACTGACATCTTGTGAACTACGGCAGACCGAGGTTTCAGCATCGAGCATATGTTGGGGCCCGCGTGGGATCTCGGATGTCACCATCATTACCCTTGGGGTACACATTCAAGCGGCTTGTTTCATGTTGCTCGGATTTGAGGCAGCCTCGGAGCATGGCTCTTTATGGCTAATACCAAGAACTCAAACATTGGCATAGGATTTATTGATGCTGCATTGAGGTTGTTTCAAGTGCTTCATTACTTTTCGACGACAGACACGCCTATTCATCACTACAGACTGGCACTGGATCACGAGAGAAAATGACAAGGTAAGCCAGGGGCGGTAAACTCGTATCTCTGCAGTCTACTGCACATTGCCACATATATCTGTTCAACTTCCATGTCTCCTTGCCATCTGCACATGCACCGTGCCTAATGAGGATCCTGGTCGGACCCTACAGCATACAGGGAGCCATTTCGCTGTAGCGCAAGTAGATATATGCAGCTTTACGTCTCCTTGCACTATCAATTTCGCTCTCTTCGCCACCGGGATAGTAATGCTCCATAGATTGTACATATATTACTATGTACATGGGGATGTTAAACGAATACGAGGGGAGCTGTTTGTGCAGCAACAATTTATTTAGTTACTCCTCAGTGGACACCGTTGGGGCTTTGTATGTGATCGACATCTAACCCAAAAGGGACTAAAATAGTATTCTAGAAAAGTAGTCGGTGGTCGCATCGGACCTTGAAGAATGTGGAGGACTACATTAAGTTGCACCCACAGCAAGTCACCTAGTGAAGGATGTTCAATGACCTTGGCCAGGCAGGAGCAACTGTGATTGAGGGTGTCTCAATTTGCCATCCACGATGTCTGCCTAAGGTGTCAACCCCCTTCCCGTTGCACGGGCAACGTAGCGTCAACATCGCGTCTCCATACCTCAGACCCATCCTCGACCAAACTTTCTATGATTTAGCCTCGATCTCGCCCCCGAAGCTTGACAGGTCATCCCTTCATATAACTTGATGGCCTTCTTCTAGCTTTGATGTCGACTGAATCTTAGCTCCTATCCAACTATTGAACCTGACACGCCATACAGTTGTCGGGAAAGTTATTTACGAGTTAAGCCCATGGAATAGAGGCACTGCCTAAACATCAAGACTACTTTAAAAGAATTCTCCGTGCATTATCTCAATATGTCCGGCTTTCTGTACGAAGCTACGACCCCTTGCCCTTCAAGGACGAGCACTTCAATCTTCAGCCGGGGCAGCAACAGAAGCTCGTCCGACAGCATGTGGGAAGATAGTCTGGGCAACTGGGACGATACTGCTAACATCGAGTTCACGACCGAAATTAAACAGTCTGTACTTACAGGCGTCAAGCCCAGACGAAGAACCAAGACAAGTTCATCCTTTGCTATTCACGAAGACCATGGAGAGAATCCTACACAACCGGCATACAAGCCGAAGCGGGATTCGAGCATAGCAGCACCGACCACGAGCCGCAAAACATCCTTACTTGCGCAGCCAGCTCAGAGATTTCGTCCCAAAGTCAGCTTCGGCCCGAGCCCAGACACGCAGTCGCGTCAAGAAGGATTATTCCACAAGTCAACAAGTAAGAGAACGGACACAGAGAAAAACAACGCGCTTTTGATGCGCATCAATGGAGCAGATGGCCAGGAGAAGGCAAAAAATAGCCTGAAGACGGATGTACGCCGTAACACGGTTTACATTCCCCCGGATGACGGTACAGTGGCCAGCGTATTCATGGGTCTCTTCAGCCCGCCCAAGTCGGACAACTTGGAGAAGTATATCAATGAAGATACTCAAGTCAACAGCCTGGAACTACAGATTGCTAAGAAGCGACAAGCCAAGCGATCTCTCGCATCATCTGCTCAACGGGCTCCATTGAGGCCAAGCTCTAAAGTAATGCAGGAGTCCTGCATTCATCACGATATTGCCGGGAAGAATGGCGGAAAGGAGAATGTGCCTCCAGGAACAGTTATCACTGAAGGCAAGAAAGGATACCAGGCCCTGAAAGCCAAGGAGGAGTTGGGAAACCGCTTGAATGCTTCTCAGATGGCAGCTAGAAGAGCTGGTGCTACAAATGCCTCTGTAAAGCCTACATCCAAGCCTCTATCTACCAAGACGAGCAACACTCAGCAGAAGAGCAATGTACTGAGCAACAGCCAGAACACCACTAAAGCACGACAGAACAGATCTGAACACGATGGCACCGTGAAGCCACGTTTGACATCAGACTACAACCGAAACACTTCATCACGAAGCTCAACTCTATCTACATCACAGAAACAACCAAAGACAAGCACAGTATTCAAATCGACTACATCGCGCAATGATATGAAGCCAATCGCGAAAGATTGTCCAGTTATTTCAGACAACATCACAAACCCGTCGCTGTACGAAGAGAATTGGCTCTCGCACCAGGAGGTGGCAATAACACAGTTGGTTAATGAAACGTTTCAATGTACTTATGAGGAGCCAGAAATCGACAACCACGCCATGCTTCGACATGAGCTCCTCACCTTGTACCAGGGAACATCTTTCGCACACGTCCACAAACGGCTTCAAGCATCATTGTTATACGGCGCTTTGAGTATACCAAAAGACGTGCTCACGCGCAGTAGCCGTCTTCACAACGATCTGGGCTTGAAGCGGAAGTTCTTGGATATTTGGATCAAGACCTACGACCTGCGAGCATTGCGAGCCGCGCTGGAAGCAATCATTGGAAGGAAGATACCCACCTCTAAGTTGGCCCATGGAGGCGATGCCTCGGATAATGACAAGGCGATGAAACGAAAGTTGGAAGGATTCCTGGATGCATTCTTGCTACGAAACCAAGATATTGACCATCAAGAGAAGATCGCTGTTGGAGAGAATGACGGTGTAGCTGGCCAGACATATCGTCGGACTGTTCTTCGAAGCATAATGATGGTTGTCCTTCTGGACAAAGCGAGGATGTGCCATGGGACAGCCGTTCCGCGATGCCTTTTCCTCTCTTCGTCACCTGTCAAGTCCTCTAATGCGGTGCTCCAGGCACTAGGTCGGTTCCTGTTGCCATCGTGCGGAGACATCATCAAAGCATTGAGCCACTTGGACTGCGAATTGAGTTATGAGCAGCATCCATTGGAAGAATATGACTACCGGGTTGACAACCTTGCTGTAGATCTCCGGGACGGTGTGAGGTTGACAAGGATTGTGGAATTGTTATTCTATCCTTCAACCTCATCCGGTGAAGTGTCGAACGGAAGTTTGCCGCTTTCGAGTCATCTGAAGTTCCCATGCAGGAGCCGCACGGTAAAGCTTTTTAACATTCAAATTGCCTTGGATGCGCTGGCTTCTGCCCAAGAGACAAGGAAGCTCGCGAAAAGCATACGCGCAGAAGATATCGTCGACGGACATCGCGAGAAGACTATTGCGTTGTTGTGGAAGCTGGTCAGCACATGGGGCCTTGCTAAGCTAGTAGACTGGGGAGACGTCAAAAAGGAGATTGAAAGACTGAGGCAGAAAGTCGCTTTCCAGGCTGGTGAGGATGGCATGCCATTGAACAGGAATGATGAGAGCGACGAACCAACCTTGCTGCTCAAGCAATGGGCATCTACCCTTGCACATCTCAAGGGCGTACCGGTTGATAACCTGAGCACGAGCTTCAGCGATGGCAAGGTATACGAAAGTATTGTTGACGAATACGACGGATATCTCGTGAAGCATGCCGAGGATCATAGCAGAACAGCATCTCTAGAATCGCGTCTGCGGGCGTTGGGATGCAGTGCAGAATTCGGTGAGTTTACCAATGACATTACTCCTCCATAGCGACTAACATAGACCAGCCAAACTCGTGTCTCCCTCTTCAAAAACTCATATCGTCGACAGCGACTTTACAATCGGAGCACTCGCGTTCCTCTGTTCGCGGCTTCTGCCAGCTACGAAGCACGCGCGAGCTGCGACAGTACTCCAGACAGCATGGCGACGGATCCTGACGCGTCGAGATGATGAGCGCCGAGTCATCGCAAGGGATATTGCTAGACAATGCGCTGCAGTTGTACAAACACAAAACCGAATTCTCTGGGCGAAGGAGGTGATTGTGCGGTGGTGGAGGCTGACTCGAGCTCAACAGCATGATCGAGTAGTTGCTACGTATGCCTACGAGGACAACCGATATCTATGAACGCAAGTCACCATATGGGGATAGGGATTGTTACACCATCCAGATGGTCTCTACAGTCCAAAAGGGCTCCAAGTGCAGCACTACCACTTAGTTCATGTATTCAGACGATAATTCATAATTCATAATTCCAATCACGCAGCACTTACCCCCCCCCAAATAATGAAAGACACTTAGTCGCTACGTACCATCCCCTGCCTCCTCCTCGGACCATATCCCATTAGCCAGATCATCACCCAACTAGTACCTAAGCACCATCTATGATCATTAATTGTTACATATGGGCATCCACTCAATCATCACCCAAAACCCAGCCACACACACCACACCAACAAGCCTTATCTACCTCCCACGACAACTACAAAGAAGCAAAAAAATAACGGCAGATACGAGAATGCTATCATTATCCAACATGATTATGTACATGATGGAGCATAGATAACTACAGTTAGACAGATAGTGGGGGTTGATAGTACCGATCATATCCAAATTACTGTCTGAAGTAAAGTACTAACTATTCTGACTACTTGCTTTTGTCATATATACCCAACCAAGTCACTACCTATTGACCCAACTATATTCTAACTACCTACGCCCCTTGCTTATTTATTTGTTGTAAGTTTGTAACTAAGGGCAAGTTAATGGGTTAGTTTGATAATCTGTCTTATGTACATAGGGAAGTATGTATTCGTTATGCGTTATGCGTTATGATGCATTATGGTGAAGAAGAAGGAAGAAAGCCAGAAGAAAGTAAACTGGCAGCGATCATGACGACAAAGTCTGCAGCGATATACAATAGTTAGTAACTGTACGATGATGATGAAAATAAGTTACTATATATGAATAAATGATATGATGCTATAATATATGCATCTGCCTATTCACTATACTGCTTGGCATTTACCATAGTAGTTAGAATATTTTATCTGGGATCAACCATGCAATCAAATCAGCATATACATTTACTTGCTAGTATTAGGCAGTAAAATAAAAGTGAAATCAAAATGAATTATTACTTACATACATACATACATGGTTATCTAGTTCAGTTAAGTTACTTAGTAAGTAATAGTAATAATAATGATAATAATCATGATGAAAGTAAGATTTCCTACGATGATATGCTTATGCTCATGTTACATTAACTGTTACAGTTGTAGGTACTACTAGTAGGGTGTACCTACCTATCTTGTCAGTTTAGCCAGTAGTAGTAGAGTAAAGGTATCGCTTACGTGGGAGAGATCAGCCATCCATCGTAATAATAATAATCATCATCATCCCACACACACACACGGGAGGGTGGGAGATGGAGGGAGAGAGAGTTTGTCGAGGTGAACTCGTATGATGTCACTGGTTTTTTGTTTTTGTTGCAGCTGACGGGGAACTTAGTTAACTACTACTACTACGTACAAAGTAACTACTACAGTACCTGAAGTAATGATTTGTTCACGATTGTTGTTATTCATTACTCATTGATTAATTTACCAATATTAATTAGTATGTCTGTTGTCAGTGGGTTTCAGTGGTTGAGATATTTAAAGAAAATGACGTCGGTTGAGCATCTGCCATCTGGCAGCTGAAGCGGCCGATCGCATTTTCCCCTCCCTCCTCTACGAAGTATGACCCAGGTAGTATTGGGCAGCCTTGATGATGATATAATGCTTCCGATGATCAGATGCTGTTCTTTGAATCAGAACGACGAATCCGGAGGGTTGAGAGTAGCAGCAGCAGCCCTGCGGGGAAAAGAAACAGCAGACGTTCGAGAAGATTACTGGAAGCGGCAACACACGCCTCCTCTTTTCTTATTCTTTCTCTTGTCTCTCTCTCTCTCTTTCTCCACCTTTCCCTTGTCCGATGACCAGATCGATCGCCAACGGGCTTTGACTTCTCTCCCTTACGCCGTACAGTAGTCTCGCTGCAAAGGGCCCTGCAGTGCATTGGTACCGGCCTGCTGGTTGGAGTCCCGGTAGACTATATGTACCTGTGCTGGCGAGAACGAACTTAAATCGCGGGGTTGTTATTGGCAGAATAGCCGGTCCGCCATCAGGAGATTCCTCTCTGGCAACCCTTCCTGAGAAAAAAGCGGTCGATCGCCGGCTCGGAGGGAATCGCGAGATGCTCTTTGCTGGCCGGAGTTGCTATTCTTCCGGATCAGCGGAGAGGAAGTAAGAAAAGGGGTATCTTAACTTAGTCCGTATTGCAATGAGGCTTAGACAGACACTCTTTCTCTTGGTATCGACTTGCTCCCGTGGACAATCTGTGATGTGCAGACAGACGTGTCCGAGGACCTGGACAGCTTGTCTTCTTCCAAGCCCCCTTAATTGGGTACGTCTAATCGATTCAAGCTGCAACATAGCCTAGTCGCTCTCTCTTTCCCCCTGAGCAAACTTCGACGTGGTCATGCTTGGTATTCGTTCGCCAAGAATTTGTCCTGCAATATAGGAGCAGATGATCGACGAAGATCTCCCACCTTCCGGGGGGTGATACTCCTTTTCAGACCGGCCAGTATCTACTTGGTGCTCTTGAGATGTCTCCTCCCATCCTCCTCCTCCATCCCACAGCCGCAGTCATTCGCCCAAGTATTTGGAATGGCGCTTGGCATCCTTGGCCGGTCACCAACTCAACACGGGATCCTCTTGGACTAGTTGCACCGGGGAGGCAAGGAGGAGGAGGAATGTGTCGACGGCGGACAGTAGGTCGGTCGCTGTAGCTCCGGACTCCGGGAAAGACCGGGGACCGACCACTCTCCCACGCCGATGGGGGGTTCTAGCCAGACGCTCATTCCACTGCAACAGACGTCGTTCGCAACTTGGCTGTGATCATCTTGGCGGCAATTCTCCGTCGTACCGGGGGCAAGGTCACAGGACGTTGCCAAGAACTGCGGTGGAATGTCCAGAGGAGAGGGATGAGCACTGAGCAAGGGGCAGTCGAAACGGGGACCACTCGGTTTTTCAACTCCGCCTCTCAAGTGAAGGGATCCCCCATCTTCATGGTTGCATGGGGTGAAATGTATATGCCTTGGCCATCTTGGCGGCCCTCTTGGCCGTCCCAGTCGGAATCATGACCCTCCAAAGAGGCTGTGATGTCTGTGATGTTGAAGGTTTCGGGTGATCCGCTGTGTCTCCCCAACCCAGTGTGGTATGTCGATCATGCGCTCAATGATGAGAGCATTGCCATCCCTTTGAAGAACTGGGCTCGATGCTGCCACTGACACATTCTAGACGTTTGCCTACCACGGTAAGATTTCGACGTGCAGGCCGGCCCGTCCTGGAGTACTTGGGTTCTGGATCTTCATCCACCTTTGCAATGGCTTTGCTCTTTGTTGTCTCTTCTTTTCTTCATCGTGACTGAAGCAAGGGCGTGCCCCCCATGTGCAACTAGATTGCTGCATTAGCGACCATCTTATCTTCCGTGTACCCGATACCTGGTATACGGGAGGTATGGTAATTGTGTTTACCTGAATCGAAGCGAGGAGGAGTAGGCTGATTAACGTCGACGACGTTCTGAATCCTTCCATGACTGACCATGCCATGCGCTCAGTCATGGGCTCGGAGTGTGGGAGGCGCACTTGCATATGTCATGACGGCAGCCTCGTTTTTATCCGCATAAAAGCCATGGATGGGATGTCTGATGTCCGGGGTGGGTTTAGCTCAACAGTCAGGGGAGTCGACGATGATTTGCCAATTGACCGAGTCCAAGACCCCGATCCATCAATCACGATGGTTGTACGGGGTACAGATGGACAATGCCGGGTCGGCGGAAATGAAGCTGGCTGTCGCACGGCTAGCTGACCATGAGACAGGCAAAAGGCACCTTGTTGCCGTGCCGGACTGGCGAGTCGCTGGGACTTTTTTCTGGGGCATACATTACTCGATTGGGTGCGTCGTGCATCGTAACTTGAAGCCGGCGCGAATCCAAGCGCGAGTCCCGTGCTGGTGGAGAGGGCAGGAGGAGGAGAAAGCCATGGACGGTCCAGTCAGCGTCGTTAGGGTATCGACCTAGGGAGAATAAAATCCCTCATACAAACCGCTCTTAGGCCGACGTCGGCCATTAAGGTACAAGGCTCTAACTCTTAGTCGCCTTAGCTGCAGGCCAATGACACCACCGCAGCAGGACTTTTGATCCTGGGCGCGGAGGTCGATAAGCGGACGTATTAATCCTTAATCCTAATCCTGGGTAGCTCAGTTGGTGTTTGTTAGGTTAATGCTATTCTTATCCGGCGTTGATCCCGGCGTCTGCCTGCCTGTCAACCTCTCACAGTAGCAGTAGCAGTTATACCATAGCACCGCGCCGAAAAAAAAGTGGCCCTGAGGCATCCGCCCACCAAAGAGACAAACCCATTCATGCTCTCTGGTCTGTTCGTCTCCATAATCGATCTCATGGCGGTCCACTCGCACGCGCGACAGTTCAGAATCTCCACCAGGTGCTGCTGGTGGTTCGATCATCAATATGCAAGCTAGCATAGTAGCCATCCTATCCCAGAAAAGGCTGGGGGAGGAAGAAATGGATGGGGTTGAGGACGGTTGTTCGTATGCCACATAGCATTTCCTCTTCCGGGTGGCCGGTGACCATCGTGGTGGCAGACTCTACCTGCCTACTGTACAAACTTCTTGTTTCCCTTCTCCTCCTGTAAAGAGTCGCCTTTGGAGTTTGGGTTTTAATTAAGATTTTATTTTATTTTTTCCCCTTCCTCTTTATTTCCTTTTTCTTCGGGTTTTGCTTGCCTCCCCTCGGCCATGCCGTTCAGCCAGAGATCTTCAGCTCTTCAATGAGGATCGAAAGTTTGCACGCTGTTCACGAGCACTTGGAAAGAATGATTGTATATAGTTTATATTTCTTATTCTGTTTTTCCTTTCCGTCGACGGTCGGAGTTTAATTGCGGAAACTCTGTTTCAATCTTGGCTTCTAGGCCGCGTAGCACATACACCAGATGTATTCGGAACATAAGTATACATAAGTCGCATGTACCTTGTATCTTGTTCTCGATCCAAGTGCGGAGAGTCCGTGTTGGCGGCCATGGATGAGGATCCTTCAGAGGGGACTGAGTGTGCGTGTGAGTGTGGTAGCCAAGCATGGGTCGCTAAAAGGTCGCATTTCCTTCCCTCCCCCCCAACAGCGGCATATGCAATGTGTAACGGGGGTGAAACTGGCGCTTCAACCCACGCCGTAAGCAACAATAACAACCAGCATACTTAGTTGAATGAACCAGGGCCGGAATGCCCAAAAGGGCAATTGGAGTCGTAAGACTTCATGAGGTAACGAAGGATCGTGTAAATGGGCCGACCCCGTTGGTTCGTGAAAGTACTTAGTACTAACAGTGCCGATAGTTAGTCTAGTTAGTACTTCCCCAGCAGTTTTTTTTTTTTTTCTTCCTATTCCCATGACTGGCTGAGATTTGGATCGAACCTGATTGCTGGGATCGAGGTTAAAAGCGGGCAAAAACAGCAAAAGAAAAGTACTCCCGAGACGCGCAGATTGGCTGCTGCGATTGTGGGAAGCTGCATCTCCCGGAGCAGCCATGGCACTGAGTGGGGGTTATCCCTGAATCGCATGAAGCTTGTCCCAGCACTTCAAGGCTTCGTGAGGCGTTTGGTAGTCTAGCTGGGCCCCCCATCCTCAGCGGCCGTGAATTGTGCAGGTTTCTGATTGTAAGCCCGTTGGTGTAGTAGTGGATGGGGGTGGGATTAGCCCGCTCGATGGTCTCCGCTTTGGAGATCGCTACCGTGGTTCTGAGCTCGGTGAACCGCCGCCCGGCTGTCAGTCATTAGAGAGAAAAGTGATGCAGTTTGGGTCTCTACTCTGTAGTTCTCTGGTTCTGGCGCTGACCGCTTCTCTCAGCGCTTTGCCATCGGGCATAGATCTGGTCATCATCACCATACTGCTTTTTTCCCATCTTCCCTGTCTCCATTCTTCCGGAGATACTCTATCCACAACTCAATCCAGTCTGGGAAAGACGGCACGATCGCCTGAAGGGAAGGATGGGATCTGAGATGCAGTTTTGATCGTTTCCAGTCCGGATTTGGGGGTGGTCTTGGCACGGGTCTCGTATGTACGGCGTATGTATGAGCATCGGTCTGTATGTATGGATACCAGGCCGATCCCGATGTGTTTTTCCTTCTTCCTCTTCGCTCTTCCCTTCCCATCACTGCCACCCGCTGAGTTCGCTGAGCCTTTCTTGTCGGACATGCCTAATACTAAACTTAGTGGCCCCCAAGGCTGAGATCCTAGAGATAAACGGACAAGTTGCTGGATGAGACGAAACTCTATCTCCAGAATTGGCTGCTACCTGGGTGACCATCCCTGGGATGATCACTGTGGAGTTACCCGGGGGAAAGACAAGAACTCGGCTGTCAAACCACCAAGCGACAAACTATCCCAAGATCGTGCTATTGTTTGAGGAATCCATTGAACAATGAGCCATGACTACTAGTTCCAGTCCTTATTTGCATAGTTCAGATCTAATCTGGTTATTTCTGGCAACACTGGTCCGATCATCTTGAGTCGAAATATGTTGTACAGCCAAGAGCCAACTATTCCCGCCCAGACCGACTGTCACTCCCAGCTGTTGTCAATCAGGTGGCGGTGCTTCTAGTCAACAACATACTTGGGAGTTCTGTAGCATAGCTTGAGGTTCCCATATACTACTCATCATTCTCATTTGGACCGATCTAGGTACCAGCTTTCCTGGGTACGGTTCTCGGAACCAACCTTGAGAGCTGAGCGTGGCAGATCGAAGACATGGAAACCACCTGCTTGTCCCATTGCCAGTCGCTGTAACCTCAAGCAAACTTTCCGGGACTCGAGAGCGTCATGATCGATCCCGGTCACAGTCGGGGAATTTTTATTCTCTTGGTTCTATTGATGTGGTAGCCGTTGTAATGTAGTACTCTGGGGTAGAGTTGGTGCAACTGAAGAGTTGTTCAGTTCAATTCACCTCGTCATAGCAGGGGGATGGGGTCTAGTCGGTCCGAGAAACTGGGATAGAATCGTCGAGACTTCGCTTGCAGTTGGTTCGCAGTTCCCAGTGATGTCTGTAGCAAGCAAGCAAGTTTGTAGTTCTGGCCCGCATCATCGGCATCGCACAAGTTCCTCCTACTACTGCTTCAGCCTGAGATAACCTTCAACACTGCCGTGACACAGCATGACTAGGGGGAAACCTTACGTCACAGGGCCAAGACCATCGCTTTCCGGATCAGGAACCACCAGATTTAAGCCCAGCTAGGGAAAGTCTCGGCAAATGCAATAGTGAGCAATGACAAGAAATACCAAGCATTGTTATTGGGATTGTAAAACAATAATGGCAACCAGCAGGGGGGAAAGGGAGGCAGTGTTTTGAAGGACTTGAATTGTTGTCACTCTGTCTAGTCTTTGAGAATGAGGCGTGGTGCCAAGCACCACATTGGTAGCACTATAATGGTGATTGTCTTCTGGGTGTTATCTTGGCCTCCCTAACGAAATTACCATAGTAGTCTACTTTTGGTGTGCTGGGTGTGTATGGAGTACTAGGTAGGGTGGGTGGTATGCACTTCTGGAGCTGCGACCGACCGAATCAGTCAGAAGAGGTAGCTACGCCGAGGAACCTAGTACCTTAAGTAACCACTTTCACGCATAAGCAGCGCATAAGTGAGCCGGCTGATGGGGGTTGATGCTAGGCTTAAATCAATGCTAGATGCAATATTTATGTGTGGCCATTCAAAGCTCAAGGGTTACTGTGTATTAAGCCCAACAAAGCGCAGCGCCCGCTGAAACGGCTTCGGCGCGACTCCGACGGGGTTCGTTTTGGTCCTCCCACGGTCAAGTTGTCGGGTCTGCTTGCCGTGGTCACCCTCGTAATTACCCTGGCATTACCCGCCCCGACGGTCGGTAGGGCAACTTTCCCACACACAACAGTCGCAGCTCGTGCCGCTATGATGCCTGTCCTGGCTCCTGCGCTGTCTTGTCCTCGTGGGGGTTCATTCTTTCTCATTGAGTAGCCGCCCTCCCTTGTCTGACAGCCTTTCTTTGCTCTGGACTTTCCGTTATTCGCTGTTTTGTCTTGAACCCTTGAGATTTGTACGACATTCCGATCAGATAAAATATCCTCTTCGCTGAATATGTTCTAGAAAACAAAGAATGGATCACCCCCTTACTTTTCAGTCTCTGGTTCTTCGGCCACTACTATAGTTTTCCAAGACTCTTAGTGTAGATGGAGGGGGGGCGATGTTTTTTTTGTGGCAGCTTTTCCCAATTAAGACTACACAGTAAGTTATGGTCTGGGATGATTTCTTACTGACCGGGTTAGTAAGATGGAGGTTAGCCCGCCGTGGTAGCCAACCTCCAAAATGCCTCATAGTCTTCTTGCTTTTTGTACTTCGGTGCTGGCTTGCCCACCATGGATGAAACCGGCTCGTTACAAAACCGGTGACTCCTGAATCAGGTCAAAGGAACAACAGTCATCTCGCAGATCATAGCAGACAATGAGATCCGTGATCCTCAGCTAGAGATTCCTTTGTTTGACTCTTCTCCAATCCTTTATGACTCTAAGCCTCTTCCCTCCATGATGTGTCCTTTTGCTTGACGGTAACTCCCCTCTAGTAAGTAACCTGACGGGTGTGTCCTGACGGGTGTGTATTGACGGGCGTGCGAAGATTACCACGGTATTGGTACTGGCCAGCGTCACGTAGCCGCAGGAACCGAAGCATGCATGAATTTGGCGAGGAAAACGACAGGGTGGGTCTGGGCTTGGCGGGGTTGGTTGGACCGAGCGCCTCTCGTCCGCCTGCAGAAGGAAGGAAAAGAAGCCCCAGAGAAGATCCGAAATTGTAATCGTGGGTAATGGGCGTGGTGCTCTTTTTTGTTTTTCCACCATTTTTCCCTGCCCTCCTTCGGCCTTGCCCTGCCGTGCCAGAGTGTGGCGACCACTCCTGACCACCCTAACCCGGTCACTCGCTCCCAAACCTGGCGCCGCTCTCCCGCCTCTTTTACCCTGCGAATCGTCATTTACTACTCGCTGACACTGCGCCTTTTTACCCGCCCTCCTTTTCGCTGGTGACTCTCTAATACCCCGTTCATACGCAGTACTGAGTGTATCGTAACAATACCACGGCGACAACCCCCGAGGATTTCCTTTGGATTTTGATTTTTGATTTTCGATTTTTCTTTTAATAATAAAATTCGATTTTTGAATTTTTATTTTTTATTTTTTATTCTCGCCTTTCCGCAAACCACTTCCCCCCCTCCCTTAATTACATTTTAATTTTCCGATCATCTCTACATTCCTCCTTCTCTCCATCTCAATCCCACCTAGCACTGCCAACACATTGCACCTGCGAAACTCTTTCGACGCGTCTTCTTCTTCTGGCGCTCTTTGAGCTGCCAATCTTTGAAGAAGGCGTAAGTTCATCTCTTGGCCGCATACCTGACGCTCTTCTCCTTTTCTTGGACCTACTAAACTACTATACTACGCCTCTTTCCTACTACACCATGTGTTCTATATCATGACAATCATCGTCCTACTAAGGACACCCTTCATTTCCGCCCTCTGGGTCGATCAGTAGTACTATTGATCGATAACGAGAGTGCATCTTCTATTTTACTCTTTTGATTGATGCAATTATTCTTCATTCTTCTCTTCCCTATCAACCAATACGTCTGAATACCCTCATAATACTACTTACCGCCACCATTCCGTCGAGTCACTATACTACCGCCAACCCTCCACCTAACCTCTTGACACAACCTCTCTCACCTACTCGTTCCTGTCTTCCGTCTCACTATTAATATAACTAATCTTCGAAGGGATGGCGCACTTGCGTGGTGGTGAACGAACATTTGCCTCAATACATAACCTACTGAAGATGCTACTCTCACCTCATCAGTCCAGCAAGTCTGCCCCTCAAGAAGCTGACATGGTTGAGGACATTGATGAGCCCCCTGATCATCGGTTCTTGAATACCTCGATGAACAACATGGACGACGGTGTCGTTTACGTCAAGGCCCCCGCCGCCATGACTGACCGCAAGGAGTCCCTCCTCACCCGCGCCCTCAAGAGCACCCCCCCACAAAGCCCAGCCGACCGTCATTCACCATCTCAGGAGCACTCCTTCTACCGCTCCTACACCTATACCAACATTAGCGGCATCTCTACAGCCGAGTTGACCAGCGATGGTGGCCTCACAAGCCCTTCTCTATCCAACACACCCAGCCCGCCTCTGCCCTCTCACTTGACCAACACCACGTCTTCGATGGGTGATAAAAGGAAGGCGGAGGCTGTGGAAGTTGGCGAGTCGGCCGTCGAGGCGAACCTGGGACGCAAGCGGTGTATCAGCTTCGCCTGCGGACGCAAAGCTCAGGAGCAGAAGCCACAAACACCTTCACCACAGCGACCTGTTACGAAGTTCAATGACGCCAGCGTTACACCAACTGAGCCCAAGCGGAGGACCGTTCTCACCTTTGTTTGCCCGGCACGGGATCCCGAGACTCGCCGGGAGCGGTCGCCACTTCGCAGTGGCTGCAGGCCGCGTCCCCGCGGATCACCTGCTCCCATGGCGCGCAAGGCCTCTCCGGAGAAGGCTGCTCCCTCACCGGTGAGCAAGGCTCCCCAGGAGCAGAAGATCGATCGCCGCGGTGTCCCGACCAAGGGGTTGGGTAAGTTCGAAGAGTCCGAGGCTACTCGCTTTCACGAATTCGCCAGCTCCGTCGAGGAGGATGACGAATGGGTAACGAAGTCTGGAGAGTACCCGGAGAAGATCACGCTTAATGATTGTATGAAGAAGGAGAATGCCATTAGAAAGCTTGGAGAGGAAGCGGAGGAAGAGGCGCTCGAAGAAGATGACGAAGATGATGTCGAGGATTCCGATGACGATTCAACCGTTCACGACTTCTCTTCTGACGATGGAAATGAATCGGATAATGAAGCCGGCTTTGCGGAGTCAGACGAGAGCGATGATGGTTCGGAATACGATTTCTGGGCTCCGACCAGCACTACTGCTGCCACCAGCCCTCAAAACATCGACATTGCTCGCCACCCCTTCAGTCGTCGCGACTCGAACACGTCTTTCGATTCTGCCAACGATGCGCAGCAGCAGCAAAGATGGTCACCTGTCTTAGCTGCTAAGACAACTAGCCGATCGCCCATGAAGATCCCAAAGCTGCGCCCTGGCACACCTAACCTTCCTGACAGTACGGACTTCGTCTGCGGAACTTTCGACGAAGACCGGCCTCTGGAGGCTGCCTACAAGTCTTGCATCGAGCAGCGCCGTCTTTCCAAGCAGATTGTCATCCCTCAAGATATCGATCCCAGCTTTCCCACTTCGGATCCCGAGGATGAGGAGGATGAGGACGATGATATCGAGGAATCTGTCCTGGATGAAGGACCTCGGGGACGGACTGGTAGAGACTCTGCGCAGAAGCCTTCTCCTCGTACGTCTCCCAGACGCATGATTTCACCTCCGCCCCGCCGTCAGGGCCGTTCCTCGCCAAAGCGTCTTCGCTCTCCGCCGCCGCCGATGAAGCTGCGGTCTTCGAAGGATGACCTGGCATCTGCAGACGAGGCTCCTACTGTCCCCTCGCGGGGACTGAACATCAGTGAACTGGTGCAACGGCCCGCCATGTCTCGTACCAAGTCCCTGCCTCGGACGCCCAACCCTTTCTTTACTAGCCTGGACAAGTCTCACCGCTGGTCTGGCATTGTCCCCGTTTACGAATCGCCGGAGCGCGAGTCGTCACGCACCCGTGAGGTGCACACCAGAGGCCCCATTGATATTGTTGAGGGTCTTGAGAAAAAACGCCAGAAACGCAAGGAGAAGTTCTGGCGTCAGCATTGCCGCAAAGCTGCCAAGGAGCAGATGGTACGGCGACCGATCCCCGGAAAAGGTGCTGAACGGATGAAGGAGCTTGGCCTCGAAGTTGCAGAGAGGTGCAGAGCTTACGGCGTTGGAGAGAACGCCCAGCTCGTCCTATCTGTTTAGACCTCAAAATTCCGCACGGGATTCGATAAATTCTTGTACATAGTTCGAATTTTTCTTATCACCCTTTCAGTCGTCCACTTTCATGACCAGTGGATTGACGAGGTGTACAAATCCCAATTGAGCGTTGTTCGCTACACCCTTGTCTTCGATGTTACTATTCTTGTCCTCACAACGTGTCCAACGGATTCCTATTCGCACGGAGGGTCCCGTCTGCATTTTACAGGGGTGGCTACCTTTGATCATTTCTTTTCGCCTGTCCCCCTTTCTTTTCGCTCTTCTCACTATACATAGCTTGTTTATTCCTTCTTTCTTTCTTCATTTTCTTCATTGTTCACCTCAGCGCTGCTGAGCGGCGGATTTGACTTTCGGTCGGCATCATTGCTCTGTTAGCCCGGGTTGCATGGAGGCGGTTTGCTACGCGTATACCCCGTTTGCTTTCGTTATCGAATTTGTAGATACTGAGCGAATGACTGTGTCATTGAATATGCCAACGTATGATGAAACTTTTTCTGCGTATAACTTGACGATTGTGTAAAAAAAAAGTAATGTGAATTCATAGTACATGTTCCAAGGACTCGATCGGGGCGGATGATCTCCCGGCGGCTGAGTTGGCTTAAGCGCTCGGCTAGGCGTCCGGGCAAGCGAAAGTCCAACGTCAACTGTCGGCCACCGCAACCTGGCTCCTTCTCCTGCTCTTATCTCCAGCCCAGCCGTTCACCACCGCCATTTGGCCCATTTTGCACCTGCCTCGTGCTGCTATCCGATTCACAAATCCATAGTCTGAGGTTCTGAGTCGATTTCCACCATGTGGCTCATTAACTGGTGTAGGTAGTCCCCTGTTTTGCCATCCGCCGACTTGGCCCCGATCATCAGGTGGTCTGCAGACCTGCCCTCCCACGCCATGTTGGGACCATTGATTCTCCATCGTCTTTCCTCTTGCTCTCTGGGTCTCTTGAGTGCCAAGTTGCTGATATATTATTCTCGAATAGTCTACGATATTCTGGCCTCCCTTGGCCTGCTCAACAAGCACGCCAAGCTCCTGTTCCTCGGTCTCGATAATGCCGGAAAGACGACCCTCCTGCACATGCTGAAGGTATGTGAGCTCTATTGATTTCGCGAGCGAGCCTCACTTCGGTGGCGACGACGGTGGATATGACAACGCATGGGATGGACTTTTATCGCAAGGGATTGCCACCACGGCAGGGATAGGGCCACGAGAGAGCTGAACGATAAGCTAACATCTGTGTTCGATAATAGAACGACCGGGTTGCCATCCTCCAGCCCACTGCTCACCCGAGTACGTATTGCCTACATGACCATGCTAGCGAGAGACTATGCGACAGCGACCGAAGGGAACTGGATATCGCGGACAAGGGCTAACCGCACTCCTTTCAATACAGCATCCGAAGAGCTCGCCATCGGCAACAACCGCTTCACGACCTTTGACCTGGGTGGTCACCAGCAGGGTGAGTAATATACCTCGTAGCCCCGTGGTATAGAGCAAAACCAGAAAACTAAATGTAGCAACTCTCGTTAAATAGCTCGTCGTCTGTGGAAGGACTACTTCCCCGAAGTTAGCGGTATCGTCTTCCTTGTTGACGCCAAGGACCACGAGCGTTTCCCCGAGTCCAAGGCCGAGCTCGACGCCCTCCTTGCCATGGAAGAGCTGGCCAAGGTTCCCTTCCTGATCCTCGGAAACAAGATCGACCACCCCGATGCTGTTAGCGAGGACGAGCTTCGCCACCAGCTTGGATTGTACCAGACCACGGGTAAGGGCAAGGTCCCTCTTGAGGGAATCCGGCCCATTGAGGTGTTCATGTGCAGTGTTGTCATGAGACAGGGTGAGTGGAAAATTCGATGTCCCAGTCATTGTCGATCGGGAGCTAATCGTTTTGTGCTATGTAGGATACGGTGAAGGTATCAGATGGCTGTCTCAATACGTCTAAGTTAGCTAGCTAGCTAGCTAGCCAGCCAGCCAGCTGTTGACTTTATTGTTGCGATATATCCCGACTACTCTTTTTTGTTCTCCTACCCACCTACCTCGATGACCCCTGTCCTAAACGAACTTCCCTCAATCTCCCTCCGAACCCTCTTTAGGGGGTGTAGGAACTCCATATATCCCAATCCAATCCAATCCAATGCAGTTCAATGAAATGAACTCTACTCCGTCCAATCAGACAGGTCATCACAACTGCCTGGAAGAAAGTACTCGCTACTAGGCATATTAGTTCCCATGACCCATCCATCTACAATATATCTCGATTGTTCAAACCTTCTGATGTTCATTTCTTCCTACATTGCTTCATACTATGAATGTCGTGTGCGTTATGTCGGAGTTTGATCTGATCCTTTGATGTTTTGACCCAGTTCTTGGTACTTCTGTCATATTTGTCCCTTTCATCTCGTTGTAGCCACCTTTCCTCTTATTCTCTCTGCTTTTCGCCTTCCAAGACCAGACAATCAATCAACCCACAAAGCAAAATAAAAACAAAGACAGAATTCTGCCCCTCTCCTTGTACTGTAACAATCTAGTTCAGTCACTACCCGCTCCTCCCTCACCAACTCTTCCTCTGTTTTGCTCGCTTGCTTGCTTCTGTTCTCTAGATAGTATGACCGAATACGCAGAAATGAGAATAATATTAACCTTCCTTACCCATATACCTTATCTTCTTTAACAACATATCCGATTCCCCCAAATACTCATTCTTCAACATACGATATACTATATTTAATACCAAGGTCAATTGAGTCAACTGCTACAAAATCGATATAGAAGAAGACAAGGTAAAATAGGATAGGATAGGATAGATAATACAAATAATACACACATACACACCACATATATGCACACAATGTCACACGAGAACGGATACAATACCCCTAGGGGGCAAGAGAGAAACAACGACGTCATTCAGGCACCACAATAACAACAAGAAGAACCCTTTCCCGTTCGGTACATTCCATACATCCTTCCATACCATACCATTCCTGTTTGGTTTGGCTTGTATCCTTCACCCCGCTTTCCTGCATAATGAGTTTCACTTCCGTGATAAGTAGGTAGTAGTTTTGACGTCGGGTTGGTGGATTGTCGTTTGTGTGTCGAATTGCATTGAATTCCATTGACAAGCTAGCTGAATGCATTTCCACGGATCGGTGTCTGCTGGGTAGGGTGGGGGTATGGACAATGTGGCTAGATGGGCGAAGGGAGTAGGGAGAGGACGGGGAGAGGAGGATCTTGGTTTTGGACGCTCGAAAGACACGGGCGTGTCGTTGCTTATTTGGTTGGCATTACACTCACAGGAAGATTTTGAATAAAAAACGCACTTGGAAAACACCAGATGCAGCCCGTCGCTTCCCCTTCCTGTCAAATGAATTCGGACAACACAAGTTGGACAATGGGAAGGAAAAAAAGGTAAAGGAGAAAAAGGAAGTTGAAGAATGAAGATCAACAAGAATGAGAAAACACCAACCCCTACTTGGAGCAGAAACTACCTTCCATATAGAAAATGAAACACATTCAGCGGGAAATCAATGACTGGGGGAGTCGCTGGAGTCTGGTATGCGCGGAGGGAAAATTGAGACGTTCTGCGTGTCGTGAGGTTCTCGGGCGGCTGGGGTGTACTGCTGCTGCCGATCGTCTAATGTGTGGCCATCGAATGTCGTTGGGGATTTGGGTCTCTCGTTGTAGTGTGACATTGTGTGGGACTTATGACGTTCTTATCTCCGCCCGAACCTGCTGCACATGGAAAAGCTCGTATGATTCCTTACTTCTTCTTTTGCTTTCGCGGAGGAGTGATGGGCCTGCCTGAGCTCATGCCCCCGTAAACGTACTTTTGTTTCTTTTCTGCTGGCTTCAAGATCTAATGCGAGGAAAATACCCGTTAGTTTCGAGAACGCTCCCCTCATTCGAGTACAGATTGATTTGTGGTGGCCTACCTGGAAGGAACAAAGTAGGCTCTCGTCGACGCTCATCATCGCACCAGCGTTGTCGAACTCGCCACAGTAGTTGGGAGCACTGAATAGCGTAACCAGCTGTCTCTTGGAGAAGAACTCATAGCCATCCTCGACGACCTGGTGTGCGCGACATATCAGGTCCATATCATGCTTCTGAAGGAACCGTGACACGACGTCCGGACCGAATGTGAAGGATACACCCCGATCGTTCTCGCTCCAGCCAGTGATGTCCTTATCGGGATCGGACCAGAGCAAGTCGCAAAGAAGACCGCAGTCGGGAATCTATCGTCGTTAGCAGGCGAAGCTCAAGGCTTCAGGGAGCCCAGAAGGGATGATTTCATCGCTCCCAGGACCCTTAAGTCAACAAATGAAAAAGGGTCTGGTCTTCGTCTTTCGTGCACGAAAGGCGAGGAAAAGACCCCACAATATTGATAGGAAAGAGCACTTACATCAGTGGGGCGCATAACACGACGGATCTGTTCCATCGAGTTCAAGTCGGGACTCAGACCTCCGTGCATGGTGAAGATCTTCTCATCGATGATAGCCGCAATGGGGAGGCAGTTGAAGCAATCCGTGAAAGTCTTCCACAGCTTAATGTTGTACCGCCGCTTGCACTCATCGTAGAAACCATAGATACGGTTGATGGACGCACACTCGTGGTTACCACGGAGAACGAAAAAGTTCTCGGGGTATTTGATCTTGTAAGCCAAAAGGAGGCAGATGGTCTCAAGCGACTGCTTGCCACGGTCGACGTAGTCACCCAGGAACAGGTAGTTGGCCTCGGGCGGGAAGCCACCGTATTCGAAAAGACGCAGAAGATCGTAGTACTGGCCGTGAATATCACCGCAGATCTGATAATAAGCGCCACCGGGTTAGTTTCCGCGAAAGATAGACGCGATGACCCGATCTCTACCGGGACAAATGAGGGATGGCGTTTTACCTTGATGGGTGCCTCCAATTCCAGCAGTATGGGCTGGGAGATGAAGATTTCCCGAGCCTTGGTGCAAAGATAACGGATCTCTGACTCCAGAAGCTGAACCTGCTTGCCAGGCCGGCTGCCCCTCACCTCCAACAATCTATCAATGATCGAGTCCAAATCCACGTCTTGATCGGCCATGTTTGAGCGACTCCAACGAGAGACGACGCAAAAGAAAACGAAAAAAAAAGTGCGAACCGAAAAAAAGAACGAAAAAAAGAAAAGAAAGAGAAAGAGAAAAGAAAGGATCAATTAACACAAGTGTTGGACAACGGAAAAAGAGAAGGGCGCGAAAAGGGTAGCTTTGCGGAGGGCTCGGTAGGCGATACGATTGATGACGCGGCGTCTATAGGCTGTGGCAGCGAAAATATGAAGGTTAGAGATGGTCCAGAAAGAGCAGGGCAGACTATGGAATGAGGTGCAGCAGGAGGCGAGGAAAGAAACGCGTGATCAATGCGCCCGGGAAATTTTTTTTTCTTCAAGCTGGGTTGAACTTGGATGGCGGGTGAAACGGGGCGACGGGGAGAGGAGGGGTGAGAAGTTGTCAAAAGTAGTAAGAAGTCGGCTTACCAAACAGAATCTAAAAGAGACAAGGGAAGTTAAAAGCGGCAACAGGCCAAATGGCCTTGGGGACACTGAGAAGATCCGACAGCGATGCCAGATATCGATGGAGAAAAGAAGCAAGCGGCCTTGGTAAATTTTTCACACGGGAGGGAGGATGAAGGCGAAGCGCGTTGATAACGGCGAGATGCGGCTAGCAAGGTTTTGAGCGTAAGAAGATATCGCTGGGCGAAAGGCTGCTTCTGGACGGGGCGGTTGCAAAAAATAGCAGCCGGCGGCGGGAGAGAAACGGGGGTGGGTTGGGGAGAAAAACAAGGGCCAACAAGCGAAGCCGAGATTGGAGGCGAGCTCTTGTTCGAGAAGATGGGGTGGGAGGAAGAGTTCTTCTTCTTACTCCTTCTGTACCTGGTGTGTGGCGTGAGGGGTGTGTAAAAGAACCGATCAAGAAAAGTTACGTAGAAGGGGGGTGAAGATGAGAAGAGGGAGAAAGAGGGAGGGAGAGAGAGAGAAGTTGTAAGAGGGTGAGTGAGGGTGTCAGTGACAAGAGAGAGAGAGAAAGGGCGCGCGCAAGCAGTTGGGATTGATTGTGTTTGGTTGCCGGCAATCAAGGGATCGATCGATCTCTTCTTCTTCTTCTTTTGCAAGGCTTTCTGGGAAAAACCGTTCGAGGCTGAAAAGGTTTTCGCCAAATTCCACGAGAAACAGGAGAAGCACGAGCGAAACAGAATGCGAAGCAGCAAGATAGATAGATAGATGATAGCAAGATTCTGGGGGGTGTGGGAAGAGGTGGGAAGGGGCAGAGAGGATGGCAGTAACGAAGGAGGACAAGCTCACCACTTGAGACGCGCGCGAGAGGAGCAGCAGAGAACCTGGACTGGGCGAGAGAGTGTGTGAGAGAGGGAAGAAGAGAGAGAGAGAGAGAGATCAAAGCAAAGCAAAAGCCAAAGCAACGCAACACAGCGTTAAGCAAAGCAAAGCAAAGCAAAGCAAAGGGAGGAGGAACTCTTGATTGACTGCCTGCCTGCCTGAGACTCCCGGATGGCAAAACGGAAAGGGCCCCGGCCTTGCGGTTCTTCCTTCTGATTGGTTTATCGCCCGGGCGGCGGGCGGCGCGCCATTCATTAAACAGTAAAGCGCTTCATGGGTGTGTCTTCTACTACTGCTACTAATCCTAACAGTTGATACTAAACTCTCTCCCTCCAACGGTCTGTCAACGTCTCGACTCTCTTCTCTCAACTCTCTTTTCCCACACCCCTCCTTCTTCAGGAGACGACATTCCCGCTTCATCCTCCATCGTACTTTTGTCAAAAACTCTACACCTTACTCACTAACTACTGACCTTCAACTCCAGATCGTCTCTTCCCCGGCCTCGACTCTCACTCTGCGGCACTAACCCCTGCTGCAAGGGAGCGCCGCCAATCGATGCCGTATTTCCCCCCTCTTTGCAGCAGTCCAGCTTCTTCTACCCCCTCAAACAAATATTCCCACGGTGCTGAAACCGTGTGTGGATTCTCGACATGCCTGCCGGTGATCTACCTACCTGATGTACATATACATCATGTACATCCATAACTCGGACCTACTTACGTATGCCCATGACCCCCCCTCCTCCTTATGGTCGCACGAGCGCTTGCATGCTAGGCTTTAACGCCTCAATGTGCCTTGGCTCCTTCATTCTATTGAAAATCCCCGGGGAGGTACCTGACAAGCACTTATCTACGGCATATCTACCTCGGATTCTACACCAGTGGGGATGTTCCTTCTTGTCTCCCCCACCACCCTTTTCAACTCTACGTGTGACGCACCTGATCCGAAAGCGCCCATGGCGCATTGCATTTCAACTATTGGCGCTACCGCGGGGAAGAGAGAACATCTGATCTGACTCGTCACAACATCTTCGTGTCTCATGCATTAGGTCCGAATCTCATCATGGGCCATGGCGGTCCCAGAAAATAATCCGTAGAAAACGGCAGCACGCCAAAAAGAAAAAGAAGAAAAGAAAACGAGAAGAAGAGAAGCAACTCAGTATACATCCTGAAGGATCATCGCATGCGCGGAACGTCATGTGCAAGCAGTAGAAACGGGAAACAGTCAAGACACAACGAGCAGTACCGAAAAAGCGAAACATCACGTCGTATATAAATCAAGACACCAGTTGAACTCCTGGACACCAGCACTCCTGCCCCAAAATACAATACAAGCCGTCTAGAACAAATAATAACAAAAAAGTAATCCTATCAGATGGACCAGCCGGGAACGGTCGGATGCGGGCCGTAGGTGGTGTATAACTGCGGCGAAGCAAGAGAGGAGTGGGAGAGGGAGGAGAAAGACGAAGGAGGAAAGAAGAATCATTCATGTGTTCCACGCATCCGGGCCGTAAGCTCTGAAAGATCACCTAACGCCGTGAATGATGCAGTTCGACAACCAGCTGCCGTAAGCATGTCGTTAAAAGGTTTGCGTGTATAGGGTTGAGTATAGTCAAAAACCGGAAGGTATCGTGGAAGAACTGCGTTTTTCGAAGCCAAACCGAACTTTTCTTTGGGGGTGTGAAAGGTATAAACCGAAATTCCAGACTTAGGAACGACCATGGATGAGGTCAAGATGTTCTTTGCTCCCTTGTTCCTTCAATCTCTCTCCTTGTCCTCTTGTCTTTTCTTTCCTATTTTTCTCTTCATTGTATTTTCAACTTTTTTTTCCATTTGACTTTTTTTTTTTCTCTATTTCATTTGTCCTTGTCGACTGGAGTCTTTCCACGCAGTCAACTTAGGGCATGGCCACCGCTTAGGATGACCTGGGGATTCACCCTGGTCAGGGGGTCCACTGGGATCCTCGTTGGATCAGCATAATCAGCTGCAGTGCACGACACATTGAGGTCCGTCTGCACATCCTTCCACCTGTGTTCCTCGAGTGTCCTGAGCCAGCTATTTCCAAGTTCTTGCCTAAGAGCCTCTAGTTGCCGTTTGTAGAAATCTCCATCTACATTCCAGTCTTTACCCTGGAGTGCACGCTGGAGGCCAAGCTGGTCTTGGGTCTGAAGAGCGGAGGAGTCGCGTTCAATCTCAGTCCTTTCCGGGTTTTTGGGACTTGCGGGTCTGGCCTGAGGTCCACCATCAGATTTCCATTGACGGTCGGGTGTTGCCGTGACAAACGGATCAACAGGTAATTGCACAGGCTGAACAGAAGGAATAGAAGGCACCACCGCACCTGATTCACGATTAACATCAGCGGAAGGCTTATCTTTTGGGCGATCGGCAATCTTCCGCCGTGTACCCTTCTTTCGACGAGTAGACCCAATATCGATTCCATTTGAGCCCACTCGCCCGACTGGTCCAATTTGCTCGTACGGAAGCGAAGGCTCCTGAGGAACTGTGTGCGAGGGCTTGCTGACAACGGTAGAAAGATCTGCTGCAGCAGATCGTATGACGGGTGCAGCCTCGGGTTCCGCAGCTCGCTCCACCAGTTGCTTTCGCTCGGTGTATCCTGGTCCCGACCCATCGATGATGATGTCCTCTGAGTAACCTGGGGTGCGTCGGAACAAGTTGAAGATCACAACACGGTAGTTCGGATGTGTTTTCACAAAAGGATTGCCAGAAACCCAGATCTCCCGTATCTCAGGGAGATTTGTGAGCCTAGCAATCTCAGTAGGATCCGTAAGGTTGTTGTCTCTGAGGTCCAGCCGTTCCAACGAAAGCAGCCTCTCAATTCCCGCGAGAGAACGGAGACGGTTCCCGCGGAGGTTGAGTGCGGTTATGGCGGGAAGAGGGTTGCGTGACAAGGAGTGGAGAGATTCGATCATGCAATGAGAGAGGTTTAGAGCTCTCAAGGCAACCAGGGATGCGAGACTGTCGGGGACTTCGGTGAAAAGATTCGACGAGAGATCGAGCGATTGTAGGGTGTTGGCCACTGGAGCAAGTCCGGCGGCAGTGATGGAGGTCAAGGAGTTGTCAGGAAGGCCGAGGTGTCGCAAGAACCGCCACTTGTGTGCCGGCAAGACACCGGAAAGTAGATTGGAAGAGCTTGCGCTGCGGTGACCCGAGGTTTCGCTAGAGTTGGAACTACCAGAGCCAGTGCGTCTTATCCGGGAGGCGGTTCCACGGCCATGACGGTAAGTCGAGTGTTTCGAGCTGGTGGGACGTGTGGGAGAAATGCTTCCGGTGCGTGGTCGAGCTTTGGAACCCTCTGATGCCATTCTGATCATCGAAGCTGCTTGGGGGCTGGCACTGGATCCAAAGGGTGCATCAGCAACCGGCGACCCGGGAGCAGAGAGCGAACCAGACAGTTCAGACTTGTTGACTGGCTGGGGGTTTGCATTTCCACTCCACCCCATCATGGGTGAGTGGTGATGTTTGGACGAACGCCGCCGACGTTTGTCAATGTCATCCAGCACAATGCCCGTGAGCAATTCTGCTGGGTCCTCGATATTAGCCCTCTTGACTGTCAGCGTCCGCAACTGCTCGGACAGCCTATCCCAGCCGAAGAACGAGCGATAGTCTATATCAATAATCTCTAACGCGCTCAAATTCTTAAAGGAATGCAATGGAACGGCAGTGTCAAAAGGGAATTCTTCGTAACCACGGATCAACCGGGCACGGCGGTCAGGGGCTAAACGCAGGCAGGGGATCTTGGTAAAGGCAGAGTATAGGTATTTGGTATCCGCTTCTAGAGCTGCTTTGGCCTTCTCGGATTTGGAAGCCGAGTCTTTGGAACCCAAACCAAATGAAGACCAAAGTGAACTCATACCAGACATGACGCTACGGACACTGGACACGGAGTGGATAGAGTCCCGGTCACCCCTGGATCGCTGAGGCTTATTCAGGAATGACACATAGGACTGCGATCCATCCGTGTGGATATTCTCCAGCCTAACATTCAGGGGACCAACGGCAATAGAAAGTTCTTCAAAACGGGACAAAAGGTAAAACAGGTGATGGGGAGTGAGGGTGAGTTTGGCAGGTTTAACATTCTGCGAAGTGAATTTCAGTGCCCCGAAGGACAGGGCCGCTGCAAGAGTGGAGGAAGCCGAGCTCGACGAGCCCGACTGGGTATGGGAGGATTGCGCATTTTTGGTAGGTTGGCGCTTTAATTGCAGCGCGTTTGCAAGGGCCTTTTCGTGTGTACGAACAAAACTAGCGAGATTCTAGACGAAGAGGTTAGAGTTAGCAAGCAAGCAAGCAAGCCAAGTCGACTAGGGTGGAGAGAGAAAGATCAAGGTGAATAAATGTATGAGGGGGTGCACGAACTTTTATGAAGAGCTGTCCATCTTCAGTGTTCAGCTTCTCCATTACGGAAATTGCTTCGCCCAACGAGACAAAAGTCTATCTGGTTAGGCGGACTCTGAAGAGGAACGCTCAAGTACTCGCAGTAGGGACGGCGAGAGTCGACATCTTGCTGGCAAGACAAAAAGCGAAAGAAGAAGAGGACCTGCAGGATAGTAGAGCGGGCGAGAGTTAGCCGTGACTCACAACAACAAAAAACGACTCAAGATAGATAGCTAAGCCCAAGGCGCTATGCCTCGTAACTATTGTCGAAAGGAAGGAGACAAGGCTGGGATGTACCTCGAAGATATAGGGGGGTTGCACAATAACGATAAACTAAGCGTCGAACAGAATCACGAAGCCGCCCACCACAACTATGCTAGACACGAGGAAGAGGAGGGATGGTTTGGTTGGAGACGAAAGGGAAGGTCTCCAATGTCAGTTGAGAAGAGAAGCCTGTCACCGGGACGAAGCTGAGGGAGGAAGAGGCGAGCTGAAGCAGGAGTGATCACCGAAAAAGGAGAAGATGGATGGACTGGATAGAAAAAGAAAAGGACCGGGGGGAGCTAATATGCAAAGCACCACGGACCTTCGACTAGTGGACGATACGTGACGGGGGGTTTGTAGTGGAGGATTGAGAGAGGGAGGGAGGAGTGGGTATGGATGAGCACCGGAGCAATCAGCTGAGGGGGGGAGGGGCGTAGGGGGGGTGGGTGGTAGTAAGCCCGGGTTCAAGTAGTAAATTGTTGTTGGCTGACAAGGTATGCCTTCAAATTAACTACTGTCGGGATGAAGTGGGAGGGGGTGGGAAAGCGCGGTCAGAAGAGTAATAAAGAAAAACCACAAGACAATGCGACGCAGTCTCGAGATAAGTGCAGGTGTTTTGTTGCTGGGTTGAGCAAAAATATGTCACTTCTGGGAGAGACGGAGGGAAAGGAGGGAAGAGGCAAAAAAAGGACGGGCTGGCGATACTGGGACTAATATAATTTATTATCATATAGAAATCTTCGCCTGTTATCTTGTCCTGCTCTCCCTTTGGTCAGGGAGCCGCTGCACCGGGCGTCGTCCAGAGGTACATCGTACTTGCATACGTATCGTACGGTACGCTAAGACCACGGCGGGTACGGGAATACCACCCCATAGTCAGACTCAGGTAAAAAGAAGTGGTAAGTAATACTAGACTTCTGTGTCTTTTTTGACTTTCGATTCGCCTTAATTTTGTCTTCATTATTGTTTTGGCCCTTTTTACATCCATCAAATCATCGTTGTATCCATAAACCAGTCGGTGGCGACCGTCGGGAAAGGTCCGTTGTTAAATCCAGTTGTTCGTCAACTCAGCTTCGTTCCCTTGTCTACCGGATCCTATCAAGAAAGAATTGAAAGCGCCCAGATACAATTGATAAATACGGACCCATACCTCAAATGACTGGTTAGCCTTCTCCGGAAACTCTATCTAGCGGGGTACTCTGGATTACTCAGTTGGACAAGGCCATGATGAATTGATAAGCGATCTCTCAAAATTTTGGCATTCCTCATAGTAGGAGTAGATAGTTGTTATCGCGTTTCCCCTCTCGGTACCAATGGATATCCCAAAGTTACTTCATTGATATCAGTCAACATCGGTTTCAGGATGGAAGCATACACACAATACAGTATCACTGCAACGGTCAAACGAAGGAGTGCCATTCTTCGGCTCTGGCGAAGAGTGGAGCAATCTTTCCGAATCCCTCGAAGCGGGTATCCCGATCGCCGACCCTTGGACTTGGCTGATGCAGTAACGGAGGACTAGTAGTATGCAACTACAACAATAATAGTGATAATAATGTTTAAGTAGGAAAGGAAAACTCCGTACGCACATACTTTTTGTTTGAAGGGCGGAAGGATTTCTGGACCAATCTGGAGGGTGTAGAACGCACACACCATGTTGATCAAATTTGCCAAGTAACTAGGAAACGTAAGTAGGCCATACTATTTTTTATTTCTTTTCTTTTCTTTTCTTATTTTTCCTTGACCAATTCGAAGCCACTGCAAGCCCGGCTCCAGTATGCTGCAGGTCGGGTGAAAAGTTTTTTTTTTTCTGTTGTGTATGTTGGATGGAGGAAGGAGGGGGGGTAAGAAACGGAATGAAGCGCAGTGTTTGGTTGAACCGGGCGGTGCTTAGAGGGAGACCCGCCTCTTGGGAGGATGCAACTGTGCCGGCGGTAACTGGACGGACGATGTCAAGTCGCCCCGTGATTGGCGGTGGGTCCCCAAACGTGCAGCTGATAGCGCCCTGGCGGACATTCATGTACTTGCCTTTTCAGCGAATCACAGGCGTTTCTCCAGCACCTGCATGACGCTTTACTCGAGAAGCTCTAGAGGATGGATTTTTAGCGACATCCTCGAGGGCCAAAAAGGAAACAAAAAGACACCGGCGAGAGCCAAAATAACATCACGGACATTTCTAGGGGGCTCTCTACTTTCTAGGATGTTACTAAAAGTATTCCGACCGGGATGAGGCAGCTTTAGATACCTACTAAATACTTACTAAAACTTCGTACCTGGAACTATACGTATATACCAGAAATGACCGTACAGTAGCGGCTTCGAGATAATTAAAAAGAGGAAACGGACACATCGCAACTTTTGGAAACTTCTCGCCTTGTCCGGATGGGGACTCGCCCTGCATCCATCCTTTCATCCCATCCATCCATCCTTTCGGTCATTGCCTGAAACTCGGAAAGACATCTCCCCTCGTTCCGAGGCAGACAGAATGATTGTATCTCAAAAGAATATTCTCTCTATCTATCTACATGAATATTTACTCCCTTCAGTAAGTCTATCAACTATGACGATTGGTACTAAGTAGATACTTTGTGCTTAACATTTAGTCTGGTATTCATCAACCTACGTACCTGGTTTATCTCGCACTGACCTACAACATTCTTGAGAGGCTCAAGTGGAGGTCTCAGTCTCATCTTTATGATCAACTGACCACCACCCATTACTCCATACCGTCTACTGGATGATCGGGTCATCGGTCATCGGCCATGGCGAAGTGATCGCTCGACTTGCTTCTTCGTAGTCCAACCTGCCCTCCCCCCAGCGAATCATGCTCCCACATTCCTGAGCTTCGGGAAACACTACGCGTACATAAAAGCTGCTGGGGCGATGATGTACTGTGTGGTTATCTCGATTGCGAAACCTAAACCTCCGTTGTGTCGCCTACAAAGTTCCAGTTCCAGTTCAAGTTGCCATTTCGCTGCATCCCTACTAACATCCTCCCTTCCCGCTGTCAGTCACACCGCTTACCGACCATGGTCCATCATCACACCACATTCTTTCTCCCGGTGCCCACTCCCCAACCCTCCTTTGCAATAACATCATTCGATCCATGGTTACCCTGCCCCTCTGGCTATCTGGGCGGGTTTCATCATTTGCCGGCCTCGTCTATGCATCCATACAGAATGCCCACGTTCCTGTGATCTCCGACAATATCGATCGCGACGAGGGGTAAAAAGGTCTTTGAACTCTGTTCGATGACGTCCATGGTAGTGGACCAGATGGTCCGTGATCGTTGCCTTAAAACTGATAGCCATAAAATTTTGGCAGACGGTTTGCCGTGCCGTGGAAGAAATTTCTCCAATTCCTTCCAGTACACAATGACACCACCTGGTACGTATCTCCATGACAGCGGGGGATAGGAAAAAAAAAAGAGAGAACCTTCGGTAGCGAGTCCCTGTTTCATGATAATACATTCGCGACGCCTCCGTTCCTTACTTTCGTCGCAAATTACTGTTGAGGGTCGGGACCTTTTTTTTTCTGTCTCTTCTTGGCTTCTGGTGTCTCGCCCCCCGATCGATTTAGATGACAAGGCACCGTTATTGCAGTAGCAGGATTACACGCAGATGCCTACATGGAAAAAAATCTCCAGGTGCGTCCTAGATCGGACGTTGTTTATTCTGCCGCCTATAGATGAAAGGAGCGGTATTGCCAATCAGAAACTTTCTTTCCTCGGCGTTGTGGGCGAAGGCCGCATGCTTCTTCAATTTGCCATGCGCTTGGAAAACGCATGCTAGGAGTAGTGTTCCAGGTCTTGATCACATTTTGTTTTTTTTTTTTTTTTTTCTGATCGATTATCATGCGAGGAGTAGTGGAAGTGGCTCATCCTTGTTTACCCGTATCCCTGCTTGAATGGTGTCTCACATACTGGGGTAGAACCCTCTCGGCGACAACGTTACTTACAGGGCAAAACATCCGAGCAGGCTCCGATGTAGGAATGCTAGGCTGGGGTGTTTGTTTCCTTCGGGAGGCAAATATTGTGTACTGGGTGCTGTAGATGGTTGGAATGGAGACCCGGGTTTGGTGTTTATTGCGGACCTCCAATAAAATTCAACAATGAAGGAGTGCACATGACCTCTATGACATCTGATCTGCCCGCTTGCTGGTGGAGGAATGGAGTCATTGTTTAGTCTGAATTATGGAGGCCGTTCCTTTCAATCCATTGAATGATTGATAGAGTACTGTAGTCTAGCAACGAAAAACAAAAGCCCGGGCCGGGAGTGGAAAACCGAGTGTGGATACTGGGGGGGGGGGACAGACAACTCCAGTGGGATCTGACGACTCGAAAGGCGGGTCTCCACTGCAGTCAACCGCTCGAATGATCAGCAGTCGTTCGCGATTGTCGTCGCCAATCAAAGCCGACATCGCTGTTCCATTTGGCAAATTTTGCCTTCCCCGGTAACTTTGTGTCCCTACTATACTAGTGACTAACCAACTGCAGGGAGAGAAACGCCAAGGATGAGGGAGAGAGAGAGACAGGAAGAAAGAAATGAAAACCAGGCTGTCTTGTCTGTCTGTCTGTCTGGCTGTCTCTGTCTGTGCCGTCTCTGCGGGCTTCTCCGTAAGTACTTACGTACCGCACTACATCCTGTATGTATGGTGCATACAGGACCAAGGAAGTAAAAAACCACCGAGGCGCGATCTTCATGCATTAGCTGAGAAAAGGTGGGAAGAAGAAACACGGGCGCAACTGGTTGAGTTCAGTTACGGAATGATGGTGGAAAAATTAGGATTGATCCTGATGCATCCCACCATTTCGGGAAACCTAAGCATCAACTTGGGTTAATGATAGATAGAAGGACAAACGGCAGAGGCTTAGTTCATGAACCGTGGACGATACTCGCTAGAGGTATAGTTTGTTGTGGCTAAGGTTCAACGTTAACCGGATCCCAGTCTCCCAAGGGCGGAAAAGCGGCTACCGCGCAACGGGAGAAAATAAATAACAATAAAAACATCAGCTACTAGTTATCTATCTATCTATCTATCGCTGTTGCGTTGCCCTGTTCAGCTGAAGAATTCCGGTTTCGTGGTGAACAAGATGCATGATGTATAAAAGGTGTGGAAGCAAACCTGATGCTATCTGCTGGACAGAGGGGAACGAACAAGAACATTCGAAAGGAAAAAGCAAGTTACGTATGTAGGTGGGTGGGTTTAGTCCTCATGGCATGATGCGATCGGAGGATGTGAGGGCATGAATGTGATACTCAAAGCGAGTTGGCTAAATTCAGCATCCCAACCCACCACTAGTACGACACCAGATCAGCAACATGCAAGAAGAACCTTCCAAGTGCTGGCTAAACCCTACGGGTTTTCTACAACATTGGCGGGGTACTCTTTTACGACTAGGAAGGTTTAGTCCATAGTGCCAGCCAGTATAATCCGCAGTATCTGCAAATCATTCGTTCTACTGGATTCCTCCAGCCTCCGTATCAGCCGTGGTTGGTGGTGATAACCAATTATCTACCACGCTGCCGCCGCCCCCTTTGACCAACCCCAGCATTCTCACAGACCACCCGGTAGAAGTCTCCGATTGCTGTTGAACACTTGGAGAGTCGGTAAATTTACCCCGCAATGTTTGAGTTGCGAACGCCATCACATCAGGAATGCCGACCAGGGTTGTTCTGCGAATAGCACTCCAATCAAACCCATGCTTAGAGCCATGCCTCGTGCCCCTTGTCACACCGATACTTCACATCCAGACGGGCGGCAACATTGAGATTCAGGCGGCTAATGTAGGTAGGACTGTGCTCTTGGAGGGGAGGGGCGACGGTACACTCTCCGGCTGGTGGACAGGCAGAAACCTATCATGGAGCTACGGGCGCGCAGCTGAGCGACTCAGCTTCGCAACACTACTGACCACCTATGCCACACTTATCGGTGACCTGTTTATATCATAGTCCTGCGATAGGTTATGAAGAGCAATTACCTTTGCCCTTCCCTCCCTCCAAGTCATGCCGACAGTCTGTTTTTGCTTGCCGATCCCGCGTGTTCTTCCAGCGCGTGCGTGCGCGATACACATTCCAATGCTCCCCAGATTTAAGCGGCAGGGTATGGCTCATGGCAGCCATCTTATCACGTAATCCGGTGTTTATCCTATCCGATGATCATAGTCACTTGGGAAGTGATTTGCAGGCTTCTTCGTCTGCAATGTCGATCTATCAACACGACACGGGCCACCAGGACGAAGAAGACAGATAGATAGACTTCAACAAACGCTTGCTGCAAAGAGGGTGTGCTGGCACTTTGGTGATTGCGTGTCCCAAGTGCATGTGTAAGTACGCAGCACAGTGTACACAGTGGACGTATAGCTAGTTAAGCTGATGCTTTCTGACATAACAATATGACGGAGCAGATATTGCTTCTCACGCAGTATGGTTCAGCTTCAGCCGAATTCTAGGCCTCACCGAGTCAGCTTCTTTGCGCTATATTCGTGACTGCCATAAGCAATATGGTATTGCTTGAGCCCTACATCCCTGGCAATAATATGCCGCCAATAGAGTATGCAGGCTTGTCATTTCGACCACCGGTGAGGCTGGAAGCAAGCAAGCAAACAAGCAAGCAAGCAAGCAAGCACCACGAGGTTGCTCAGAGAGAATGCCGTCGGGAACTCTCCGCCATGACTATTTCCCAGATAGGACTAGTGGTATCACTCATCCTTGATTCCTGAGGCTAGTCCTCATTTGGAAGCCTGGTCAAAGTGCCCGCCCAGCCCCACAGCCCCAGCCACATCCACTCGACGTCACGGGGCCCAACAAAGTAATTAGTGGCGCCGGAGACTTGAGGCGGTGTCAACTCAACTCTCTGACGTCGATGTCTTGTCCAGTGCGCGTCACTGATTCTTGTCACAAGGATTATCTTTACTCCCCCCCACCACACATATCCCCGATCTCTAACCCAACATGCATTATTATCATCAATCATGAACGGGGCGGAAAAGTCTGCAGCTGGTGACACCTACGATCCCAGTACGATACCGGATTACGACCGAGAATTCATCAATCCCGATGACTTGCGCCAATTCGAGCTTGCCTTGACGGACCAGGGCGCGTCACCGCTCGTTGCCCTCAACGACTGGCGCCCCATCTACCAACGGGTCAGGCGCGAACGTGGGCGCCGCAAAGAGCCTAGGCGGACCAAGGATGAGACCAGAGAAGGTGTGCTATACACAGTTTTGAAGTGGCCCTTTTTGTTCACCGTCTTTGGTTGGATCACGGCCCTCGCCGTTGCCTACACACTCACCCGTGTCTACATCTTTCTGTACGAGCAGTGGGTAACATGGCGGGGCAGAAGGCAAAGCCTCAGAAGACAGTTACGCGCGCAAACGAATTACCCCGACTGGCAAAAAGCCGCCCGAGCGCTGGATGATCATCTGGGGAATCAGAGATGGAAGGAGATCGACGAATACGCCTACTACGATCATCTTACGATTAGCAACCTAGTGAAACAGCTGAAGAAGGTGAGACGGGAGGTGGAGCGTGAGAGGCGTGAGAAACGTCGCGGTTCAGGCCAGTCACCTGCAGCTGAAGAATTATGCACACTACTGGAAGCGTGTGTCAAGAACAACTTCGCCGGGGTGGAGAATCCTCGACTCTACAGTGAGGCTTACTCTGGTACCAAAAACTTGGTACAGGAATACATTGACGAGCTGCATGCGTGCATACAATTGGTTGCAGACTCGAAGGGGATCAGTAGCGAGGAGAAATTACAGCATTTCAAGCATTTGGACACCAATTTCGGACGAACCGCCCTCTGCCTGTCTGGAGGCGCTACATTCGCTTATTACCACTTTGGAGTAGTGCGAGCGCTATTGGATAATGGGGTTCTACCGGAAATAATCACGGGCACGTCAGGAGGAGCGCTGGTCGCTGCATTGGTTGCTACCCGGACTGACGAGGAGTTGAAGCAGCTGCTAGTGCCTGCTTTAGCGCACCGCATCAGAGCATGTCAGGAGAGCTTCCCGACTTGGGTATGGCGATGGTGGCGGACAGGAGCGCGATTTGATACTCTTGACTGGGCCCGACAATGTAGTTGGTTCTGCAGGGGCTCAACTACGTTTCGGGAGGCATACGAACGAACAGGGCGCATCCTGAATGTATCTTGTGTGCCATCTGACCCTCACTCGCCTACAATTTTGGCCAACTACCTAACTTCACCTAATTGCGTAATCTGGAGCGCAGTGCTCGCGTCTGCAGCAGTCCCTGGTATCTTGAACCCGGTTGTCTTGATGACGAAGAAACGCGACGGGACACTGGCGCCGTACTCATTCGGACACAAGTGGAAGGATGGCAGCTTGCGCACCGATATTCCCATCAAAGCATTGAATCTTCATTTTAACGTCAACTTTACCATTGTTTCACAGGTAGAACTCCTCTCATTATACCCAACATTGAGTACACTGAACTAACACCACCACTCCCTACTAGGTAAACCCACACATCAACCTCTTCTTCTTCAGCTCCCGGGGCACCGTAGGCCGACCAGTCACGCACCGGAAAGGTCGCGGCTGGCGCGGAGGCTTCCTGGGCTCCGCGATAGAACAATACATCAAACTAGACATGAATAAATGGCTCCGAGTCCTGCGGCACCTCGAACTCCTCCCCCGACCCATGGGCCAAGACTGGAGCGAGATCTGGCTGCAGAAATTCAGCGGCACAGTGACCATCTGGCCCAAGACTGTCCCCTCGGACTTCTTTCACATCCTCTCGGACCCCAACCCGGAGCGCCTCGCCCGCATGCTCCGCGTGGGTCAGCAAAGCGCATTCCCCAAGCTCCAGTTTATCAAAAACAGACTAAAGATCGAAATCGCCGTGGTGAAAAGCCTACAGAAATTCGCGCACGCCGGCGGCAGACCGATCTCTCCGGCGCCGTCTCGCTGGCGCCAAAATAACGACCCGGATATCCACTACAATCCCAGCCCCCGCACTGCCACCGATCCCCTGAATGAACGCCTGGACCACAACCTTCCCGGACGACGCGGGGACAACGTTAACATCACATTCGGCGAAGGCGGCGGCAGTGGAGAAGACGCGCATTTACTGGACGGATCGCTGTCGGAGAATTCATCAAACGAATCTGCTGGGCGACCGACTTCTTCGGCTTCGTCTTCTCGGCTGCTGCGGGTCCCGGAACACCGTCGGGGTAGTACGGGGAGTAGTATCTTTGAGGAGATGAGACGACAGTCGGCAGTTTTCTTTGATGATGTGGATATGTACGGGGATGATGAGGCGCTTAGGCCCGGATGAGAGAGACGTTCTTTTTCTTATCTCTGTCTGCCTGGTGTGGTACTTTTTGATGCGCTTTTTTAGCTAGCTTGCTCTTTATCTATCTTCTAGTAATTTCTTTTGAGCCTGTTAAGGAAGATTTAGACATTAATACTACCTGTACTTTATTACCACCCATTACATTCACCTACTAGTGATGCCAGTAATTTCCGCTCGAGTTGCTAATGCATGTCAGATGAGAGTAGTACTAACTATCAGCACAGACGGCTTAGTGGTACTAACATAACCATTAAATGAGGTACTTTACTATAATATCCGTCTGCTTGTTTCATTAACCATGATAGTAATTGCAAGTAGCTTCAGAAACTGAGAGACTCGTCAATTTAAACTAGTGTTAATTCATGTCCGACTTGATCACTCAATATATATTTCAACGGTACTACTAATGCACACCCCCGCTTTCATCAAAACAACTACTACGTACTGATCATAGTAAGTTCCATAGTTTTCATACTATCCACATAAACCCATGCCTCCCACATTGATACTAGTATACACCCCCCCCCCCCCCCTTTTCCCTTCTATATCTATTGTCTTTTAAGTAATTCTTAAACAGCTTACAAACACCCCCATCATTCCGAACTTAACCCCCGCATCAACAGCAGTCCATAAATCCCATCAAATCATCAGACGCCCATGAAAAGGGAAAAGACTTGGTCCAAAGACCGAAATACAAGCCAAGAGAGTCCCAATCCCAACATTATGGCGCACAGTGCATCCCAATCGTAGCAGCCAAGACTTTGCTGGTCGCTGAGAGAGGCGCTGTATTGCTGCCGTCCTTTGTTTTATCATCTTTTTATGATGACGAGGGTGTTGATTGCTGCTGGGGGTAAAGAATAAAGGCTTTGTTGAGAAGATCTCCAGGATCGTCAAGTTATCTAGGTTTCTGTGGGAGTGTTAAGACGCAGTCACGGTAGCACCGCAACAAATCTTGCATTGGGCGGGAGAGGGGGATGTGCCTTACATGTTGGTGAATAGGGGCAAGCCGGGACTTCTGAAAAGAGAGGAATTTACTCATCTTTGGGCGGTATATCTGGAAGAGATGTACTAAAGGAGAGGCTTGGTCCAAAGTACTACTACCATATCCACCTACCTTCTAGTCTGTAAAAACAGACTCCGATTAGGTAAGTATTATTTCCGGTTCTATTTATGAATGATTGCCCGGTTATAAGTATAAATGTCACTGGTTAGTAAGTAGTATATCTTGGGTGGATTGTATACAGCTAACGAATGACCATGAAGTGATAGTATTAGGAATAAATAAAACCGACTGAGTCGATAGTGTTACGGATGCCGTCTACTGCTAAAGCAGTTATAGATTGGGGCTGCTTTAGATTGTAGCATCGTTGGATGTCATTTAGAGAAGATATTACTGCTGATCTTTGACCACCAAGATGTATCTGTGGAAATCTTAGAAAGCGTGATACTAGTATATACTACACGTCGAAATTATTTACAGTGCCAAATAAACAAGTGATAGCGCAATAAAATACTACTACTATGGTATTATCATTCATCTTTAAGGTATAAAACTACTAATTTGTTAATAGGGTAGCAAGTAGATAGTGGTACTAGTGGATATCACTGGGCCCTCATACATCAAAGAACCCTTAATATATTTATACTACATCCCCACGTTCACACTGCCAATTTTAGATAGCTATATACTACTATCTACACACAGATACCTAGTGATCCCCTACCCCAGGAACCAGCTACGAAGTATTACTATATACACGTGATACTGTCCATTTCATAC